CAGCATTGCACAACATGGGTGCACTCACATACATGCAAGCAATACACTCATACACTTAAAAATAGTAAATAAAATATTTTTTTAAACTTCATTTATTTTTATTTTATGTATATGAGTGTATTGCTTGCATGTATGTAAGTGCACCCATGCCATGCAGTGCCCACGGAGTCCAGAAGAGAGCATCAGATCCCCTGGAACTAGAGTTATGGAAGGTTGTTAGCTACTATGTGGGTGTTGGGCATCGTACCCGGGTCCTCTGCAAGGACAGCCAGTGCTGTTAACCACTAAGCTATCTCTCCAGCCCCTGCACACATTTACTTTTAATACTTTCACCTGCATTTGTTCTTCTACTTAACCTCCTGAATCACATCTTCTCCATTTCCATGTTGAATTAGACTTGGAAGGATGCTTATATTCTCTGTAGCGACCTGACCCTCAGCCCATCCACAGGGGCAGTTTCATATCCTGTGAGATTTTTGCTGTACTGTTCCTTCCTCTATTGAGCTCTCTACTAATACTGTTCCCAAATACCCTGGTCAAAATTTGAACTGCCCTCTGTTGCTCTCTTTCAACTGTATATTCTCTCTCTCTCTCTCTCTCTCTCTCTCTCTCTCTCTCTCTCTTCTCTCTCTCTCCTCTCTCTCTCTCCCTCTCTTTCTTTCTCCCTCTTAATGAATTTGATATTAAGATATAGTATTGTGGTAGCTTTTTGTAACTATAATGAAATACTTGACACTGCTGATGAAGATAAAAAGGCTTCTTTAGGTCAACTTTGGAAGTTCAAGGGCATGGCCTGGCATCTACTCAGTTCTCCGCTGCATGGCAGTATGGGGGATGGTGATGACAGAAACGTGTGAGAGCAATCTAAGGAATAAATAACAACCCTCTGACAAGAACTACCAAAGGGCCAGGCATGGTAGTGCACACTTTTAATCCTAGCACTCTGGAGGCAGCCATCTAAAAAACCAAAACATAAAATAACTACTGAAGGGAGGGGGAGGTCTCAGGAGAGACGCCTCACACCCCAGTTACTGACAGAATTTCACAGAGTTGAGTACACAAATGTCATTAGCCCTCAGAAGTCAGAGAATGTTAGAAGCATCTCAAGGGGCAGGGAGATGGCCCAGCAGGTAAAGAATTCGTGGAACAAGCATGAGGTCCCAAATTCAGATCCTTGGCACCTACATGAAAAGCCAGGTTCAGCAACAGGTTCAGCGTCATCCCAGCGCCAGGGAAGCAGAAACAGGATCCCTGGGGTTGGCTGGCTAGTCTGGCTGAATCAGTGAGCTCCAGATTCAGTGAGAGACCTTGTTTTGTTTTTGTTTTGTTTTTTTTTTAAGTAAATGAATAAAGACAGAGGGCTGGCAAGACGGCCCAGGAGGTAAAGGCACTTGCTGCCAAGCCTGACAACTGAGTTTGATCCCTGAGACCCACATGGTGAAAGGAGAGAACTGACTCTTGCAATTCAGCCCCTGACCTCCACATGTGCACCCAGGCATGCATAATATGTTTTAAAAATATTTTATATTATTTTTAGTTTATGTGTATGAATATATTGCCTGCATGTATGTAAGTGTACCCATCTCATGCAGTGCCTGTTGAGGTCAGAAGAAGACATAGGATTCTCCTGGAACTGGAGTTACAGATGGTTGTGGACTGCCATGTAGGGCTAGGAATCAAACCCAGGTCTTCTGCAAGAGCAGCCAGCGCTCTTAACCACTCAGCCCATCTCTCCAGCCCCACAATATATTTTTAAATACAGGGAGAAAAGGTGGAGAGTGATCGAGAAGGTCACCCAATATCGACTTCTGGCCTTCAGATGCAGAAATACACACACCTGTTCACACACAGACACCGAAGAATTTCAGAAGAGCCCGTGTGCCCTCCTGACATTACACGCAGAGACAGCTGCTAGTCTGTCTTCTACCAACATCGATTAGTTTTGCCTGTTTTTAACTTTCTATAAATTGTGCTATAGGTAATCTCTTGTGTCTGACTTCCTTTAAACAAGTTAACATTAAGAGACTGTTCTGTGTTGTATGTAGCTGGAATTCGTGTTTTTCCTTTGCTGAGTATGCCACAATACTCATCTTACTTTTTTTTTTTTTTTCAGTCTTTTTGAGACAGGGTCTCCCTGTAACCCCAGCTGTCCTGGAACTCACTATATAGACCAGACTGGCCTCGAACTCACAGAGATCCACCTGCCTCTGCCTCCCGAGTGCTGGGATTAAAGGCGTGCACCATCACACCTGACTCATCTTACTTTTTATGGCAATTTAGTTAGTTCTTTTCCCATTTGGGTGTATTCTGAAGATTTGTGTACATATATTTTCATGACTAAAGTAGTTTTCTGTTGGGAACATACTTAGGAATGGGATGGTTGTGTCACAGACTGTGTATGCTGAGTAGATTTTTGCCAAACAGTTTCTCAAAGTAGTTACCTGAGTTTATGTTCTCCTCAGCAGCTCATGAGAGGTCTCCCCATCCTCCCCCACTGAGCACCCTCCACAGTTTGCTTTGTCAGTCTTTTGAAAAAAATTTTTTTGATTTATTTATTTTTATTTTACTTGTATGAGTGTTATGCCTGTGTGTCTGTAAGTGCACCCATGTCATGCAGTGCCTGCACAGGACAGAAGAGGGCGCCAGGTCCTCTGGAACTGGAGTTAATGAATGGCTGTTAGCTGCCATGTGGGTACTGGGATTTGAACCCTGGTCCTCTGAAAGAACAGCCAGTGCTCTTGACCACTGAGCCATCTCTCCAGCCTTTGTTTTGCCAGTCTTAACCTGGGTCCTTCAGCAGGCACGCAGGGATTGTTTTGTGGCTGTCCTTGGCTTTTCTTTGACAGGTGATTGACTGAGTAATTCCTTTTGTTTCTTCACATTTTCTATTGAGTTGTTTTTTTTTTCTCTTGAGTTGTGGGAATACTTAATAAAATCTTTGTGGATCTGCTGCAGATAATTTTCCCCCTGTGTCAACTGCCATTTTACTCTACTAAATGTTGTCTTTTAATGAATAGAAACTCTTCATTTTAATATAATCTAATTCATTAGTAAACCTTTTCATGTTTTACATCATATTTATGTATGCTTAGTTTTGTAAATATACAAACCTGTGAGGTAAATATACAAATAAATAGGATAGGAAATAAAACCCTAAGTAAGCTGGAGAGCTGGCTCAGTGGTTAAGAGCTCACACTACTTGTCACAGGACCCAAGTTCAGTTCCCAGCACCCACACTGAGAGGCACACACCTGGCAATAACTCCAGCTCCAGGGGAAACAATACCCTCTTCTGGCCCCAACAGGCACCTGCACCCATGCGGTATACTCTCATGCAGGCACACACACACATAATTAAAATTAAAAAAAAAAAATTTATGTATATGAATGTATTGCCTGCATGTATGTAAGTACATCCGTGCCATGAAAATGCCCACGGAGGTCAGAGGAGGGAGTCTGATCCTCTGGAACTGGAGTTACAGATAGTTCTTAGCTGCTATGTGAGTGCTGGGAATCGAACCTGGGTCCTCTGCAAGAGCAGCCTGTGCTCTTAACTGCTGAGCCATCTCTCTAGCCCCTCAAATTATTGTTTAAAAACCTGTGTAAAAAAGAATTTAAGCCCTGAGAAATTAGAAGATACAGACCTTGGAGATAAGACAGACAAGTCAGGTACTTCTGTGAGCAAATGTGGTATTATATAATGAGGCAGTAAACTTTGCTTAGAGTATCTTAGAAATCAAAACTGAAATGCAAAAATGGTTTGTTACCCTGTTCTCAGTACCCAGGTTCTGTAGCTGGTATTGTGAAGATGGAAGCTGGCCCATGAGAAAGGCTGTGAGGCAAATAGTCACCTGCATTTGAAAGCACTAACAGGTATATCTTACATTACAGGTTATTCAGCGATAGTTATGACCTCCCGGCTACGTGCGTTGGGTGGAAGAATTAATAATATACGAACCTCCGAATTACCCAAAGAAAAATCTCGATCTGAAGTCATCTGCAGCATTCGATTTTTAGATGGCTTGGTACAGACCTTTAAAGTTAATGTAAGTTCTCCACATTTTGTTTTGTTTTCTGCGTAGATGCTCCTAAGAAATAGTTTTCACCTTTTGACTTAAAACACGGGGAAAAATTATGATGAGAATGGACTGGGCGTACCCCTAAAATCTTTGCCCCCATGTTGCCTTTCCCCACTTCTTTTTAGGGATGTGAACTGTGGGATCCTCAGGTGTTGGCGTATCTGGGAAGTCCCTGCTCACTTCCTCAGGCAGAGCTAGTCCTCGAATGATGGTGCTCAGTGCTGAGTTAGTAGAACCCACATGACTTTGCATTTTTTTAAAAAAAATTTATTGAACTTTGTTCATATATAAAATCATCTTTATATTCCCTTCCCCTTTGGCACCATCCCATACCCCCCCCCCACCACTGGAGTTCATACATTCTATGATCTTGCATTTTTGAAAATAGTAATGCTTACAAACCAAGCTCCTTGAGGGCAGGAAGAGCCTCCTGACACAGGACTGGACACAAGCTGGTGCTCTTTGAGATGGTCAGCCTCGTGGATGGCAAGGCTCCCAGACATCCTGGAGCCTGTTCACAGAGCACTTGGAAGAGCCAAGACTGGGAACAAGGTCTCTCGTCTCCACATCAGCAGCAGCAAGAGGCAAAGACAGTAACAGCTTCTGTGGGCTCTGAACTCAGCCTCCACCTGTGCCTGGGATTTGCCTGTGTCTCAGTCCTGATGGCACCAACTCCAACCCCAAGCCACCTGTGCCCATTTTGAAAGTCCAGTGTACAGAGAAACATGCCAGAGGAGATGGATAAGATACATGTGATGGTGCAGGCCTGGGATCCAGCACTTGGGAGGTGGAGACATGAGGATTAGAAATTTAAGGCCAGCCTCAGCTGCCTACTGCATTCCTAAGGTCAGCTACATGACATCCTATCCCTAAACAAACAATCCAACATACACAATGAGGGAAACCAGAAAAGGCCACAAGAACTCAAAAGAAGAAGAAAAACTGATGCCCGCATTTTCTATTTTTTTCCTTTCCTTCTTTTTTTCTTGAGACAAGGTCTCACTATGTAGCCCTGGCTGATCTGAACTCACTGTGTAGACCAGGCTAGCTTTGAACTCACAGAGATCCTCCGGTCTCTGTCTCCCAAGCACTGGGATTAAAGTCATGTGCCACCTGTAACTCAGTAACCCTACATTTTCTGTCCAGTCATAGGTCTTTCCTGCACTGCTCGCCTGAGGTCACTAGAGATCTTAGTGCAGGCAGGAGCAGTTTACATGAAGCTCAACCCAAGAGGTATTGTGCCTCCTTCCAGACCAGGGGCAGGGCAGCTGCCCTATGCTATGGCTGTGAGAAATGTCCCCAGGACTCAGGTGCTGGGAACTTGGAGCTTCACCTGATAGAGTGGAGGTAGTCACTGGAGATGTGTTTCCCAGCTTCCCTCCCCACTGCCCCCTCCGCTTCCTCAGCTGTCCGAGAGTCATGCTTTGTTCTTCTGAGGGTAGGAAATATTATTGTGATAAGAAAACTCTAGAAGGGGACAGAAAAGATGGCTCAGTGGGTAAAGGAGCTTGCTGCCAAGCCTGACAGTCCAAGTTCATTCCCTGGGACCCACTAAGTGGAAGGAGAGAGCCAACTCCTGCAAGTTGGCTGCTGACTTCCACATGTACCTACACCTCCTGCCAAAAAAAAAAAAAAAAAGACTCCAGAAGGAAATTTAATTGTCTAGTCAGGTGACTTGTTTCTTTTTGTTTCTTTGTTTTTATTCTTTGCTAATTTAAGAAAGGACCTTACTTTCCTGACTGACCCGGGATTCCCTATGTAGTCCAGGCTGGCTTTGAACTTGAGGCAGTCTTCTTGCCCAAGCCTCCTAAATGTTGGAATTATGGGCATGAGCCACCAGGCCTGGCCGACATGCTTCTTAGCAGCTCCCGCTGGGCATCCACCCAGGCCCTTCCTAAGCCTGGGCCTTTTCCTATCTTATCCTTTGGCCATTCCTAACGGGATCAACCAACCCCAGACCACCTGCCAGCATCTACCCCTCCTTGAAAAACCCAAGCGTTTCCAAAGTTCTAGGAGAACTTTCTGTAGCACTGGAAATGGCCCAGTATGGGAGCTATTGAACATCTGAAATGTAGTGAGAGTCCTTGAAGAAGCGTGTTTCCCTGAAATCCTAGCCGAGAACTGCATCACCAAGCCACACCCCTAGCCTACAGTTACACTTTGAACTTTAATTAATTAAAATTTAAATAGTCTCTGTAATTCAAGGCCCTCACTTTGGACAGTGTAATCCTAGTAAGGATTTTTAAAATTTTTTCTATTTAAAAAAAATTTTTTTAAATAATTTTTATTTTATGTCTATGAATGTATTGCCTGCATGTATGTGAGTGCACCTGTGTCATGCAATGCCTCGGAAGTCAGAAGAGGGCTTTGGATTCCCCTGGAACTTGAATTAAGGACAGTTCATAGCCACCATGTGAGTGCTGGGAATCGAACCCGTGTCCTCTGCAAGAGCAGTGAGGTCAGAAGAGGGCGTGGTATTCCTCTGGAACTGGATGGAGTTAAGGATGGTTCTTAGCTGCCTGTGGGTACTGGGAATCAAACCCTTGTCCTCTATAAGAGCAGCCAGTGCTCTTAACCACTGAGCCATCTCTCCAGCTCCAATTTTTCTTTTTCTTTAATTTTTTTTTAATCTTTTTTCAAAAAATATTTTATTTATTGTTTTTATTTTATGTGTGTGTATTGCCTGCATGTAGGTAAATGGACCCGTGTCGTGCAATGCCCTTGGAGGACAGAAGAGGCTGTCAGATCCCCTGGAACTGGAGTTACAGACAGTTGTTAGCTGCCATGTGGGTGCTGGGATTTGAACCTGGGTCTTCTGCAAGAACAGTTTTCTTAACCGCTGAGCCATCTCTCCAGCTCCAATTTTTCTTTTCTTTTCTTTTTTCTTTTTTTGATCTTTTAGAGACAGGGTCTCCCTGTAGCCCCAGCTGGCCTGGAACTCACTATATAGACTAGGCTGGAGATCAGCCTGTCTCTGCCTCCTGAGTGCTGGGACTAAAGAAGTGCACCACCATGCCTGGCTCCTTTTTTTTAAAAACTTTTTTTCCCCTCTAATTGTTTTCATCACATTGTGTGTGTGTGTGTGTGTGTGTGTGTGTGTGTGTGTGTTTTGGGGGAGTAAGCACTGGTGCCATGGCACACATGGAGGTCAGAGGACAGCTTGCTGGTGTTGGTTCTCTTACCTTGATGGGTCCAGGGATTGAACTCAGGTCGTCAGGCTTGGTGGCAAGCGCCTTTACCTGCTGAGCCATCCGTCTGTCCCATCAGCATTCCTTGAAGTGCACCAGCACCCCTCACTGTGTTTCTTTTGAAACACATCAGTGGTGAGGCCTGAGAATCTGCATTGTGCTAGTGCCCCCTGCAGCCCCCCTGCACACTGTAGTTTCGAGGGACAATGATTTGAAGCAGTTTTGGCAAGATCATCTATATTTTCTCTCACAAAAAAAAGAAAGAAAGAAAAAAAAAAAAAACCTTTGCTCGGTGTGGAGTACAGCTGTAATCTCAGCACTCAGGAGGCTAAGACAGGATCACAAGTTCAAAGCCAGTCTGGACTATGTAGCAAGTTCTAGGCCATGAACAGTGAGACATAAACCAAAAAAAAAAAAACATTAAAAAAGAGACATAAACCAAAACAGACAGCAAAACCCAGCTACTTTGGTTTTATGGAGTTTACGTCCGGTTTCCTTTTTAACATAATTTGATGCAGAACTTGGTGATTAAATGAGCCCGGGGGAGGTCACAAATGCTGCTCCCAGATGCCGTCAACTAACAGCTCAGTACATGGCTGGCTCCTTTGTCCAAGTCTGTGTTTGTAGGATGCATTCCTCAACAATGTACTTTCTTCCTGGCAACAACAGGAATATTTGGTAGTGTATAACTCAATTTTTATTCAACAAGTATTTGCTGAGCACCTACTATGGGCCAGGCATTATTCTGGGTACAGAGAATACAGTAGCGAGCTAAGCAGCACAACTGCTGACGTTGAAAGCCTGCCTGCCAGTGGGAGGGGCCAAGCGGAGCTCTTGTTTTTTTTAAAGATAGGATCAGAAAGGTCTTACTGAAAAGATGAAAGAACCATGTATTTCCGTATTTCCGGAGGAAGCACATTCCAGAGAAGATACTATGTGGTGCAAAGGCCCTGGGGCAGGATCCCTTGGTATGTGGTTAAGGAATGGTATAGAAGCCAGTATGTCTGAAATGGCATAAGCTACAGGGGGGAAAAGAGCCAGAGATAAGTGAGGTCTGAGAGGTAGCAAGTGGGGGTGGCATGGGAGGCCAGGTGGAGCCTCCAAGGTCATTTGGGCATGCTGCCTTTTGCACTGGGTAAGGGGGAGAGCACTGGTGCGTTTGGATGAGACCTGATATGACCAGACTCAAGTGTCATTCTCTCCACAGTAGCCAGGGAGATAGAGGATTGAGAGACTACAGGAGCTGTCCCAGAGAGAGATGCTAATGGTAGACGGGGCAGTCTTATGGGCATGGTTAGAAGGAAACACCTACAAAGTGGAACCAATAGGATTTGCTGACAGTTGGGATTTAGGATGTGACAGACTAAGAAGCCTTAAGATGGGGCTAGAGAGATGGCTCAGCAGTTAAGAGCACTGGCTGCTCTTACAGAGGACCTGGGTTCAATTCCCAGCTCCCACATGGTGGCTAACAACCATCCATAACTCCAATTCCAGAGGATCTGACGCTCTCTTCTGACCTCCTTGGGAATTGCACAACATATATGCAAACACAACACTCATACACATAAAATAAAAATAATAAAGTATTTTTATAAAGAAGGCTTAAGATGGCTCCAAGATGTTATCGTGGGCAGCCTGGAAAGAGAGATGTAGCATAGAGAACCACACAGACTGGAAAAGACAGGATTGGGGATGGGAATGACAGCTGTGCTGTGGGACATGTGGCATCTAAGTGTTCATTATCTATCCCATAGACATGGTATTAGGGGCCTGGGGAGATGGCTTAGTCAATAAAGTGCTTGCCTTATAAGCATGAGATCCTGAATTCTAATCTCCAGAATCCACATAAAAATCTAGGTGCAGGCCAGTGGGTGGCTCAGTGAGTAACAGCCTTGGCTGCCAAGCATGATGACCTGAGTCCGGTCTCCATGACTCACAGAGTAGAAGGAGAGAACAGGCTGTCCTGACCTCCACACATGTGCCATGGCATGCACACCCACTCATACATACACACAGTATATAGATCAATAAATAAATGTTAAAAAAAAAACAAAAACAAAAGCCAGGGCAGTGCCTACCTGTGATCTCACTGATGGCCAGATGGGAGGCAGAGACAACAGAATTTCTGGAAGCTCGCTAATCAGCTAGCCTAGCTACCTGACAAAGTTCCAGGCCAATGACAGACCTCTGTCTCAAGCAAAATTGAAGGTGCCTGAGGAACAAACTTGAGAACTGTCCTCTGATCTCCCACACATTTGCATACATATGCACACACACGCTGGTACACTCACAAACATCTACACACTCATATACACTAAATAAATAATAAATAAATGCATAAATAACTTTTTAAGAAGAAAGGACTGATATTAGGTTACATAGTTAGGAGCTTAGGCGCCAGGTCCAGGTGTGTTTGGTGGGGAGCGGGATATAGGTGTGGATGTTGCCAGGATGAGGAGGTATTTAAAGCCACAGGCCTAGATAAGACAACATGAGAGTGAGGAGACAGAAGATAGGGCAAAGCCTGTCGTTGAAAGACAGGCAAGGGACAAGCCACCAAGTGGGTTGAGGGAACCTGCAAAGAATGTCAGGGGGAGAAGGTAAAGACGTGATGTGGTCAGAAGCTAGAAGCAGTGAGCCCTATGAGAAGCATAAGCTGAGCTCCCACCCAGAGTGAGTTACATATCAAGCGTTAGAACGGGACCCACCAGTGGTGAGCACCTAGAGATTCTCAGTTATGAACATCCTTATTCTCCCCGCGCTGCTGTCACCCAGAGCCTGAAGCTGCCTGCTCCAAAGTGCTCTCGCTGGAACTTGAGGGATTTGAGGGTGTGTAGTCAGAAATGACTCCCCCCTCGCTTTTTATTTCTCTGCCCCCGCGGATCCCTCACACAGTCTCATTCACACTTGAGCCAGGACTCTTTGTGATGGGGAGCAGGTATCCTCAGCAAAACCCACTTGGGCATCAGTTGTTTAATGCCCATCCCAGGAGCAAGTCAGTGATGTCAATAAGCTAAGCCAGCACAGGTGGGCACAGGCCAGTTCTTATTGTAAACGTGTCTTTAATTATATTGTAATTCCTTTCGGGGGTGCTGGACAGATGTCTCAGTGGTTAAGAGCGCTTGCCCTTGCAGAGGACCAAGGTTCAGTTCCTAGCACCCACATCAGTTCCAGGGGATCTGACACCCTCTTGTGGCCTCCATTGGCACCTGCAGGCACATGGTTCCCATTACAACCATGTGGGCACACACACGTACACATAAATACAAATAAATACAGATAAATCTTTGAAAATCCCTTTGGGAACTAGAGGAATTATGTAGAATTGATACTTGAATGTTTGAAGTCTTCAGTTCGGAAGCAAGAGACACAGTGTAGCAGGGACACGGCTTCGGTGTTAAGCAGACATGAGTCAGGCAGTCAGACAGCTATGCCAGCTGTAGAGCCTTTCAGTGCCTTGGTTTCTCAATGGCAAGGAGGATGCTAATAGCTACTTAACAGAGTTACTGCAAAGAGACAGAGATCATCTGTGGAAGGTGAGTGTGGCTTTATATCTGATTCCTTGTAGATGTTCAATAAATTACAGTTGCTAATGACAATAGTTACATAAATAATATAAAATATATAGATAATAATTCTAGCAATGTATTCTAGTATCTGGTGGACTGAGGAGATAACTCAGTGAGTAAAGTGCTTGCTTTGCAAACAAGGGCATGAGTTTGGATCCCCAGCACACACATAAAAGCCAGCTATGGAGGCATGTGCTGTAACTTTAGCACTGGGATAGGGGCAGAGACAGGAGGATCCCTGGAGCTCACTGGCCAGCCCATCTAGCCAGAACAGTGAGCTCCAGCTTCACTGAGAGACCCTTTCTCAAAAAATAATGTAAGGGGCTGGAGAGATGGCTCAGCAGTTAAGAATACTGTCTGCTGTCTCCAGAGGACCTGGGTTTGATTCCCAGCACCCGGCTGGCAGCTTAACAACCGCCCGTAATGCCAGTTCCAGGGAATCTAATGCTCTCTTCTGGCTTCCTTGGGCTTTGCATGACAAGGGTCCACTTACGTACATGTGATTGAGGAAGACACCCTGAAGTCAGCCTCTGTCCTCCACACACCCTAGCATGGGCAGGTGCACTCTTAAACACCCGTCCATGAGAACAGGGTATCTCCTAACTTGGGGGAATGTCTCATGACTTGGAATGTGTGTCTGTACCATGGAGACTCTTGTGATGGATGGTGCCCTGGGTAGGGAAGTGGCAGGTTTAGGGGCCTTCAGGCTAGATAGGAAGTACATTCTGGAAACAGGTATGTCTCGTGTTCCCACACTACAGACCAAATCCCATGAAGTCACCCCAAAAATTTGCCTCAAGACTTGACGGTTACCTAATTCTCCCTGTCCTGGTCACTGCGACCTACTTTCCATACATGACCTGTTCTCGGAAGCTCACAGACAATGCTGCTTTCACCTGTTCTATTCCTTGTCTATTTCTGACTCATACTGTCCTGAAGTGAAATGGTTTGGTTCAAAGCATTCCTGGGAGGTCTATCTGTTAAAATAGAATTTGAAATTTCTCAAAATGCTGCATGCTGTTTTTGTGTGCCCTTTGTGTCCCCACCCCCTTCGTTCCCCATTCCCAGCCACTCTTTCTTCAGAGGCCATCAGCTTCAAATACTTACCAACCGGAAGGGAGGGGTGACACTCCACCCTCTCATCCTCCCAAAGACAGAGCAGGGGTTGTTTCCACCTGTCCCCTGGGGTGTCCGCTATGCCCTGACCAGTTCAAAGCATTTGACACTCCATGTTAATCCCCCATTCTGCAGCCAGGCAAGGAGAGGATGCTTATTGTGGTTCTGTTCCAGTGCCCACATCAGGCCTGCCCCATAAACACTGTGGTACAGGCCACTGAGAGTCCTGCTCTGGAGGGAAGTGTGGCCGAGTGTCCCCACTGGCTTTTCATTTCAGATGATGAGAAGCAGCGAGGCAGATAATCCCACAGGGTGACGTGGGCCAAGTCTCTTTGAGGGTATTTCGGATGGCATTCAAGTATTTTTAGCTGTTAGTGGAGAGTTTTCCTCCCTGCATGGGCCTCTGGGATCCTCTAGGGAAGAGAGCTGCAGCTGAGGCCCAAGTGGCTAACAGGAGCTGAGCTGGGATTAGCGTTTGCTGTGGGTAATCCATGGCAGGTCACGGGGCGTTTGCTCCGTAATGTGTGAGTTTTCCAATTTAGAAGTTGCTGGAGAACTTCAGCTGAAAGGAAGAAGCAATCTTAGAAAGCTAAGTTCAGGGCTAGAGAGACGGCTCAGCGGTTAAGAGTACTGGCTGCTCTTGCAGAGGACCTGGGTTCAATTCCCAGCACCTACATGGTGGCTAACCACTGTCTCTAACTCCAGTTCCAGAGGACCCGACACCCTCTTCTGACCTCCACAGGCATTACACAACATGGGTCCACTCACATACATGCAGGCAATACACTCATACACATAAAATTTTTTTTAATAATAATAAAAAAGCTGCGCTAAGCTTGAAGTGTGTTTTGTATGTTTGTGAGGAGGGTACATGTGCATGTGTGTGCATATGCATGCAGAGGCCAAAGAACAGCATCTAGCGTTGTTTCTCGGAAGCCATCCACCTTGTTTTCTGAGGCAGGGCCTCTCATTGGCCTGCATTTGATAAGTAAGGCAAGCTTTCTGACAGGTATGTGCATGTGTATGTGGAAGCCAGAGGCCTGAGGCCAGCATCATTAAATGCTCTTACTTTATTTTACTTTTTAGAATTTATTTTGAGTTATGTATATGTCTGTGTGTCTGTGTGGAGATATGAACACATGCATGTGAGTACCCACAGAGGCCAGAAGAGGGCATTAGATTCCCTAGAACTGGAGTTACAGGTGTTGTGACCTGCCTAATGTGGTTGCTGAGAACTAAACTCCAGTCCTCTGCAAAAGCATAATGCACTGTTAACCACTGAGCCAGCTCTCCAGCCCCACATTATTGGATTTTTTTTTTTTTTTTTTTTTTTTTTTTTTTTTTGAGACAGGGTCTGTCACTAAACCCGACGCTCACCAATTTTGCTAGCCCTGAAGACCTGTGAGCCCCAGGGATGTACCTGTCTCTGTCTCCCCAGCACTGGGTATCACAAGCCTGTGCCACTATGCCTGGCTGTTTTTTGTTTTGTTGTGTTGTGTTTTTTCACATGGGTTCTTGCAGGGCAAGCAAGCACTTTCTCCAGCCCATAAACTCACAGTGTCTCAAATCATACTTAGTTTGTCTTAACCCCGCTTCCTATATTTATCTTGTAGCCTTGTAATTCGAAATTTACTAATGCTTTTGTTATTATGGGAAGCACGTATTTATAAAATCTCTGAAGGTTTTAGCTCCTCTTTGCCTACAGTAAAAATATGGTTACCTCTAGTTCTTGGCTCGTTTTGATGCTTTTCCCATTTGATGTTTTTTGGTCTAGAAACAAGATACGGGCCAGTCACTTTTGGACCTGGCATACGGCCACCTGGGTGTGACAGAGAAGGAATACTTTGGCTTACAGCATGGCGAGGACCCAGTGGACTCCCCCGTAAGTGCTGGCATGTGAGGTGTGCGGCACGCCTGCCCGGGTTGGTTTCATAGCTTATGTTTTCTCACCCAACAGAGATGGCTCGAGGCAAGCAAGCCCCTCAGGAAGCAGCTGAAAGGTGGGTATGGTCTCACTTTGGTTGGTCATTGGGTGTGTGGTGGACTGTACCTCTCCTCCCCTTGTCAGAATGCTGCCTGGACCCCAGAGGGGACCAGAGACAGGTGCACTAAGCACTGAGTTAACCGTGCTTCAGAGCAGTTTTAAGGCTCCTCCTTGGCTGTGCAGAAGGGCAAGAGGAGAGGAGGCAACTCAGAGCAAGGGACCCCACTTCTTTTTAACTAGGAAGGAAGGGACAGAGAATGGCTTAGCTTAGTGTAAGGAAAGCAGTCGCATAGGGGCTGAGGAGATGGCTTGGTTGGTAAAGTGCTGGTTGGGCAAGTATGAGGACCCGAGTTCAGATCTCCAACACCCACATAAATTGCTAGGCATAGCAGTGCACACCTATAATCCCAACACCGAGACAGGAGGTGCTCTGAGACTTGTTGGCCAGCTAGTCTAGTCAAATCAGTGATATCCATGTTCCGTGAGCGACCCTGTCTCAAAAAATAAGGTGGAGAGTGATGGAAGACATTGATGTCAACCTCTGGCTTCCACATGTACATATGCACACACACAAATACATATGCAATAGGAAAAAAGGGAGGCAAACCCTCAGATTCCTCAACATACAGACACAGGTCCTTGTAGTTTCCAACAGCATACCCACAGGCTCATCCACGTCCAGTGCACCCCTGTGCAGTTCATAGCACCCAGTGAGGTAGACACTTCAACAATACCACAACTACCCTCCATTTAGCCTGGCTTTCCTCATGGCGCTCATCAGTCCTGCTAGGTACCTCATGCCCCAAACTAACTGCCAGCCTGCAGGGCCTCCTCTGAGCCACCCCTTAGCCTCCTCCCTGATTCCAACTCCTGCCATTCCCAGGACTTCACAGACGCCCATCTCCTGTCCTAGAAGAAGGGAAGCTATGACATCTTCCATCTCCTCTTTCCTGCTTCATTGGACCTTTGTGACTGAGCACTCTTGCTCTCGAGCTGCAAGGTGGGAACCCTTGCTGCATTCATCTCTGTACCCCTGATAGTACCTGACACTCAGAGGTGGCCGGTCACGTGCGACATAGATAGCTGTTGCCATCGATTCTGTCCCTGACACATTCTTTCAGCAAATACTTCCTGAGATCTCAGACGTAGAGAACACTGTGCTAAATTTTGGGAATTTAGTCCAAACCAGATTTAAACCCTGCCCTCAAGCTCATGGTCAAGTACGGAAGAGAAGTGCAAGAGTTCTGTGATAGTACTTCACACAGTGCACAGAGAACAAGAAAGACAGATGGACCATGTCAGTGACACCAAAGTGACAAATGATAGAAGGGGGAGCCTGGGGAGGCAAGAGAGCGTCCCAGGACAGGGAACCCTGGAAAACCGTCCTGCAGAGCTAGAGCACCACCCACTGGTAGCTAGGTGTGTGAACAGTCCCACACTTACCATTAAAGATTCTTTTAGCACCAGCCAGAAGTGACAATGGAAGGGACTAAAAAATGGGAGGGATGAGCCAAGGCAGAGGAGGAGAGGAGCAGGATTAGCCTGTGGGACAGGCAGAGAAGGATTTGAATTTCAAAGAGCAAGAAAGTGCTACCTGAGCCATGGACAGGACCAGGGTGTATTTACCAAGTGCTGGGAAAAGGGGTAAAGTCAACACTATTGAAGTATCTTGGCAACACAATCTGATCTTGTTGCCATGTCTAGCAGAAGACACAGACTAGTTTTATCCACACAGGCAAACTGGTGCTGATGCCTAAGTTGTACTTCAGTGTGTTTGTTGTATAAGCATGTTAACCACTTATAAGCTTTGCACCAAAAGTGTGAAATATTTTCTAGTTGAAAACCTGATTTGAAGCCAGGCATGGTAGCACACACCTCCAGTTCCAGGGGCTCTAACACCCTCTTCTGACCTCCGCAGGCACTGGACAACATGGGTGCACTTACATACATGCAGACAATACAGTCGTACACATAAAATAAAAATAATAAGTAAAAATATTTTTAAAAAACGATTTGAACAAAAACTTCAATGCTACCCATTTGGTCTTATTGCCTAATGAGGAAAACTACTTATTATATCTCTAAACCTTTTGTCTTATCTGTAAAACAGCTGTGTAGCCCACAGTAACCATGGTGGGGTTTAAGTTCTAGACAGTACATGTACATGAAAATGTTTAAAAAGCTTAAGTCACTATATAAATGTGAGTTGTTATACTTCTTTGTGAATTTCGCATACTATGCTGATTTAAGAATTTTAGGTTTAAATTCCTAATACTGATAACAGGATGCGTTGTTTGAACACAGCCCTAAGTTAAACACTGAACAGGAAGTAGGTGTTACCACGTTCCTTGCAGAGGCTTGTGTAGAGACTTCCTGTAGACTTGGGAGACTGCTGGAACAGTTAATTTACGCACTCTGAATTTAAAATGGGATCTTTTATAATGGAAAATGTTATGGTAGAGTAAAAAATTCCTCACATGTGGGATTGTAGCAACTTACATACATTGACTTTTTTTAAAGGGAAAATTTTATTTGTTTTTGAAAAATGTTGTAGGAGGTTTCCCCTGTACCCTGCATTTTCGAGTAAGATTTTTTATACCTGATCCCAACACCCTGCAGCAAGAACAAACCAGGTAATATTTTTTTTTCTTAAAGTTTCCTCTTTACTATATAAACATGAGTAGCCACCCAAAATGTACTCTGTGTTTTCTTACTCTGAACAAATAACTTGATTTGAGTATGACCACCCCAACGATCATGATCAAAGTAAAATTTTGGGATACATATATGGAAATTTTAATACACAAGTTTGTTTTCAGTTTGTGGCCTATCTCTCTCACCCTTGATTGGTACAATTTCTAGAATATGGGTACCCACTTCTTCCCTCCCCTGTTTCCACCCCTCCTTCCCAGCTTCCCCTGTCTGGTGAGCATTGGAAATGGCAGAGGATAACAAGTCAGTTCCACTCAGCCATGCCTGGCTTGGGAGACAGATGTGTAGGGCAGTCACCCACAGGGCACACAGCATGACATCGGAGGGGCTGGAATGAAGGACAAGACACGGCTGTGAGAGGAACTTTCCATCGGGTCCCTTGTTTGCAGGCATGAGGAAGGAGAGAGGGCTGGACTCTGCACGTCTGCTGGGTGAATCAGCAGGTGCAGGAAATTTGTGAGCCAGATAAGAGAAGTAAAGGCTGCAAAGGACCTGTTTACCCCGCAGGGCTTAGAGGCTGTGCTGGCTTGGCTTGGTCCTGCCAAGTGGGTTTTCTTGGTAGGGAACTGGGTGTTCAGAATGGAAGGAGTATAACAAGAAAGATACTGCAGGATTGAAGGCTGTGCCAGCTGCTTTCCTTCCCCTGGGCTATGTTAAGACCTTTTGTTATCTGTCCTTTATTCTTAAGGAGGGAAAGGAGGGAAATTGTCTCACTGGGAAGAGGCAGGTACATGTTTGGGATTATTGGATCCCATTTTATGCTTATGCAGTCTCATTTTTTTCCTTCTGTTTAATGGTAATCAGACAGTTCTACTTTAGCTTTTAATATGTTTAAAGGCCAGTTCATCCATTGCTCTGTTTTGCCCTCGTACCTCTTTCCTCCACGGAGGCAGACCTTGGGGCTAGACTGTGTTTACCATTATGTTAAATGTTAAGCCTGAGCAAGGGAGGCCTCTGTGACTCATTTGGGAAAACACCAGGAAGTGTATGCTGCTTTGAGTGTCCCCCGCCCTTTCCCCGCCCCCCACAAGGCTCTTGTGGGACACACATCCCAGCAAGTCATTTTGTAAGTTGAGGGATACCAAACGGGTAATATCATCTGTAAGAACATGTTTTAAACCACCTTACCAAGGTTTCTTCACACTAGTGCAAGATAACAAATTCTAGTTAAGGGATGTTTTATAATGATTTGAAGAGCCAGACTCAGTGGTACACACCTGTAGTTCCACCTACTTCGGCGGCAGAGGTGGAAAGATCCCTCGAACACTGGAGTTTGAAACCAGCCAAGGCAATATAGCAAGACCTTGTCTCAATAAAACAAAAATACCCTTGAAGGATTATATGTATTACATGTCTGTGTATGTGCATGCGTTATATATTATGAGTTGTATATGTGTGTGATTCTGTGTTTATGTGCACATGTACATATATGTATAAGGTGTTCTAACTGGTAGATTAAAAAAAATTACAACCCTGTGATTAAATACGTTTTATATATTTTGCTTCACAATAAACTACACATATATAAATTACTGAAACAAACATTTTATAAAACTATAGCAAATGCAGAGTGCAATGAAATTTTCTATTTCCTTTGTTAATAGTGACAGTTGTAGCCTATCAAATTGACTTTACCTGTAGCTGAAAAGTCCTAGCCCATGTGTGGTGACTGACACCATCATTTCTTCCCTGGGATGCTGGAGCCCCAGGTTTTGACACTTTGTAGGAATGCCAGGCTCTCCAACAGAAGAGCTTGAGGGAGGTACTTCCAGGGCTGGCCTAATCTCTCAGTCCCCTGCACTTCTCTTTATGGCCATTTGCTTCTGTACTCCATGGAAAAGAAGACTGTACCCCTATCGATGATAGTCTTCCTGTCATCCAGGGGCATCGGGGAAATGTAGGCTGGAGATAGCTTTGAAGTGAAGTGAGACCACCTTCAGATCTCCAGAATAGTTGCAGGGAAAGTAGAAGGAGTTGGGCAGGGTCCTGAATTACAGCCAGTGGGTAGGGCTACAGAGTTGCAGATTTTAGCTGGAGATGAGGAATAGATTCGTATTTGTCCTTACTGAAGTTTCAGATAAGTTAGTTCTGTCTGTGTTACTCACAGGTCTGATCTGACACCCAACCCCACTCCCACTGCCCACTTCCCATCTTAAGATGGTCATGGGGTATGCGGTCCACTGTGGCTGCTGCCTCCCAAGCATTGGGCATCAGATTTCTCTTACTCAGCAGGAACTGGAGCAGCATGGTCCTCCTATAGTTGGTGCAACTAGCTGGGACTATCAGATCTTTTTCTTAGTCCTGGGCCTGGATTCCACTGTTAATTCATATTCTGGGTTGGTTTTTGTTTTTCCATTTACATGAAGGTAAATGGAAATTTCTGGCATGTAAGGTCCTCTTATGCTCTAGCTTCGTAGCCTGTCAAAGGTGAGCTTTCTTTTCAAGAAATTTGTCTCCCAGCAATCAAAAAATGTAGAGGTGGTAGTATGGGTTGACTTTGTTTCATATCTGGGAAGGGAGAGGGTCATTGCTTTTTTTCTGAAGTTGAGATCTGTTCCAGTTTCATTTCTGTAACTGTATTAAAAATACCCTGACCAAAATCAGCTTAGGGGAAAAAGGGATTTATCACAATTCCTAGTTCCAGGTTACAGTCTGTGGGTGTGGGGAAGCCAAGGGAGGAACTTGAGACAGCTGATCATATCACATCTACAGTTGACAGCATTCTTTTTTTAAAAAAAATTTTGCTTATTATTTTTATTTTATGTGTATTTTGCCTGCATGTATGTAAGTGCACTCATGTTGTGCAATGCCCTCAAAGGTCAGACGAGGGTGTCAGATTCCCTAGAACTAGAGTTACAGTTATTAGCCATCATGTGGGTGCTGAGAGTCGAACCCAGGTCCTCAGCAAGAGCAGCCAGTGTTCTTAACCACTGAGCCATCTGTCCAGCCCCCTAGGGCATTCTTGCTTGCTTATGATCAGTTTCTCTATTCTTACAGAGTTCAGGACCTCTTGACTAGGGAATGGTGCCATGCACTGTGGGATGGGTCTTCCCACATCGATTAAGGCATTCACCTATAGGCATGCCCATAGGCCAAACCAATATAGACAATCCTCATTCATACTGGTGATAGTTAAAGCTAAACTTGACAAGCACCAGGATAAGGACCCTCTTAGAGGAGGCTGAACATATTTGAAGTTGGTCCTGCCAAGTTTCTCCCATCAAAAGCTTTCCTTTATTCTCATTGTTAATTAAACAACTTTTTGTTGTAAGCCTCCACAACTGCTGTTACTGATAAATTTAGATCATTCCACTTACTGGCAATCTCTAATTACAATTTGAGCTCCTTGAGGAAAATCACAAAGTCTCATTAAGTTTGGGGTGCCCGCAACAATTCCAATTTCTTTACATGTGATTTTGTGGGGTTGACTCAAAAAGTTTACTCAGCATAGGACCAAGTGATGTTTGGTGCCACAATCTGTGTTCATTTTTCACTTATGTCCCTCTGAAAATAACCCAATTGGCTGGACTCATCAATGAAAGCCCAGGTTTTATCAGTGGATCATCTATGACTCGCTCCCTCTCTTCTCTGTCAGTGTCATTGTATGTGGAGAGAACACTTAATTCTGGTTGAATGTTAGCTTGGATAAACATAGAAACGAACTAGAAAGGACTGGTTATGTTTCCTAGGTGGACAAGATAAAGATTCCAATACCAACTGGGTGCAAATTAGCACATGTATTTTGTTGCTTTCCTTGTTACTGTGACCAGATACTTAACAAGAATCAACTTACCAGAAGGGTTTGTTTTGGCTCACAGTTCTAGGGGATTCAGTCCATCATGGTGGGGAAAGTATGGCAGTGGCAGTATGAGGAACCTGGTCACGTTGCACCTACAGTCTGGAAGCACAAAAAAACAAATGCTCAGCCTGCTTTCTCCTTTATTCAGTCTGGGACCCCAGTCCATGAGATTGTACTACCCACATTCAGGGTGGATCTTCCCTCTTCAGTTAAACCTTTCTGGATACACCCTCGGACACACCTAGAGGTGTGTTTCCATGGTGATTCTAAATCAAGTCAAGTTGACAATTAAGATTAATCACTTGTATGCATGTATATCTAGTACCATAGCTCAGTGCCCAGTGTTGAGCACATTATAGAAAGTGGTGATAGTTATAATCGGATATTACTTATATCAGAGTTATGACTTAGATCCTAAGCTTCTTAGTCATTTATTTGTAGCATACAGAAATTGTTCTCATATGTCCAGGTTACAGGAAGGCAAGCTAACCCCACAGTCTGAGCATCAATTTCCTTGTCTGCACAAAAACAAAAACAAAAAACAAAGAATAGAGATGGTGTTATGACCTCACAGAGTCAATAGGAGGCTGAAGAGAGGATAAAGTCACAGAGTACCAGGCACTCAGCCCCAAATATGAGGTTGCAATACTGTTTGAAACATTCAAGTCTCAAAAAAGCTAGCTCCCTGACCTTTCTCAACCCGGGGAATATGAGACTGATTTGTTTAAATTGCCAGAGTCATGGCTCTCCTGCCCCCAGCACTTCTGTGCTGTCCATATTAGATTTCAAGAGGTTTCCCTTTTGTCTTCTTGGCCAGACCCTGGAATGTCAATCCCGCTTGAATCTGGGTTTTAAAAAAGAGTGGGAGCTAGGAGCCAAGCGTCACATGTATGCCGCCTCCCTAAATATAAATTGCCTCCATGGCACTTCCTGGCCTGTGCAGGGCTGCTGCTGATGGCGTCCTTTCCCCGCATCTGTCCCAGCACAAAGATTCAGCCTGCTGACCTGAGGGGCCTGGAACAGTTTGCCCCCAGGACCGCTCTGGGCTTTCGAAGCTGACTCTGCTTTTTGCTCATCGGCACACTGCAGCTTGTAGGTTTTAGCAACTTCTAGGCTCCCAGGGCTTCTGCTGCAGCACCCACAGTTTCTGGGCCACAGGAGAAAAGACCAGCTGGATGTTTGCACCCCAGCCAAGGGGATATCTTCACAGGACCACCCTCCCCCCAGCAGCTTCACACAGAGGGAATGTGGGTGTGTACATGCCAGTGTTTAAAACAGTGACTCTGTGTGGGGACTGCTTGTACAGGATGCTGTGGGTCCCTGTGCCTGGTTAGGAAGGCCCATGCTGAGGGCTGGGGTAGGCTTGGCAGGTGGCTTCTACCCCATCTGTTCCCACTCAGCCCTCCCTAGCACAGGACACCTCTGCAGCTTGCAATAGAGCACCTCATATCTTATACCTAATACCATCTGAAGTAGGTTAAATTATATATATTCTGTTTTTCAAATGTGCTAGTCTTGTTCTAAGTCATCAGGATTTTGTTGTTGCTATTGTATTTTGTATTTTGAGTATGCATTAATGCACATAATTGTTTCCTAGGCATTTGTATTTCTTACAACTGAAGATGGATGTTTGTGAAGGAAGGTAATAAGAATTCTGCTTTCTTCTTTTCCTGTCAGACTAGCCAAATTCCTGGTTTTAATCTAATGAACACGCATTCCTGGCAGCAGTATTAAATCTAAACAAAGCCTGATGTTGAAAACAGCATCCTGCACGATGTTTTGCTTTGGACATCTGTTTTCAACTCTGTCTTGGTTTAGAGAGACTAACATTTGATAAGCTTTGTTTTGTGTTATTGAAATTTTATTGAAAAGATACAATGATCTTTCTGGTAGAGACTTGAGAAATTTTGAGGGAGAGAAAGACCCTGAATATAAAATGGGCCTCACTTAGGGTAGCAGATTCGGGATAGGTTAGATTAATTTCCAAGCCCTCTGGTTACCTGTGGGTGATTCATTTTTCTGGAAAGACTTTTGTTCAGACATGAGCATCTGCCCATGAGTCAGCACTCCAGCTGTATCTAGACTATCTCAGTGGATGGAAGATATCTGAGAATGGCCCAGAAAGGGAGCTGAAATTTCAAAGAAGCTCAGCTTCCAAATCTTTAGCATTTATGAATTTATTTTATTTAAAAACTTTATTTGTATTCTGTGTGCGTGAACATTTTGCCTGTATGTATGCAGTACCCCTGGAGGCCAGAAGAGGGCATTCGATCCCCTGGAACTAGAGTTACAGATGGTTGTGAGCTGCCACATAAGTGCTGAGAACCAAACCTGGATCTTCGGCAGGAATAGCCAAGTGGTGCTCTTAACCACTTAGCTCTTTCTCCAGCCCCTATTTATTTTTAAAAATATTTTATTACTTTTTATTTTATGTACATGAGTGTGTTGCCTGCATGTGTGTATGTGCACCTGTGTTGTGCAATGCCTCCTGAGGAGGTCATAAGAGGGCATTGGATTCCCCTGGAACTGGAGTTATAGATGATTGTTAGCTCCCATGTAGGTGCTGGGACTCGAACCTGGGTCCTCTGCAAGAGTAGCCAGTACTGAGTCATCTCTCCAGCCCCCCATTTATTTTTTTAAATATTTGTTTTTATTTGTGTGTGTGTGTGTGTGTGTGTGTGTGTGTGTGTGTGTGTGATGTAGGGAGGGGGCATGCGTGCCACTGCGTGGATGTGGAAGTCAGAAGACACCTTTGTTGAGTTGGTTCTCTCCTTCCACCTTTATGTGGATTCTAGGAACTGAACCAGGTCTTCCGCCTTGTGTAGCAAGTGCCTTTACCTTGCTGAGCCGTATTACTGGCCCCTTAGCATTCTCTTAACTTGTGAAAGAAATCAGAGCAGGAAAAGAGCCCCAACTAGTCACATTCGTCTCCCCCCACTCTCCTCCTGTAAGTTTAATTCTACTGCCACGGGTCATCCAGGCCAGCAGCATGCTCCATCACAAGGGACTGGGCAGTTGTGACTAGGGAAATGAGGCAGGAGCCCATGAAGCAAGTGGGCCCAATTTGGGCAGCGGGGACCACGGTTGGCCTAGGATTCAGGAGCTCTGCACTACCATGGCCTAGAAAAGTCTGTGGATTGCTAGAAATGAGTCAAATTTGGGGATGGTGGGAAAAAGAGAAGTTGGATTCCCACTAGTCTTCAAAAAGTCCCCCATCCCCCATCCCAGCTGGAAGCCATATGTGGTCGACTTGCAGGAAAACAGAGAGGGAGCTTTGGATGCCCAGTGTAGGTGTTATCTCACATCCAGCAGACAGAAGAGAGCAGCTGAAGGTTCTTAAAAGCTAGAAGGATGTGGCAAAAGCCACCTCCACAGAGATGATGTCTGTGCACAAAGGGAGACTGGGTGAGACCAGGCTTCCCTCTAGGTGGAAGGGAACAGAAGCTGGTACAGACCTACAGGACAGAGACAGGACGGAGCCTCCTTGAAGGGGCTCTGGGAACTGTTGGCTATTTAGCGGTATAGAGTACAGGATCTTCATGATGCAGCGTGTCCTTCCTGCTTCTCCACACACCCTGTAGCCCTGGACCCCTGTTTGATCACTCCCAGCATCCCCTTTTGTGAGGCAAAGTTTTTACGCTTCAGGTTACCCTCAGCTTGAAATGCCCCACTCCTTTCCTGGGCTGCCCTTACCAACCACAGAAATTGTTCCATTGCTCTCTTACACACATACTTTTTTTTCCCACAAATACTGTACTAGTTCCTGTTACGAGACAGGCTCCAGCCTGTGCTGGCCACTGGACCAGGGCCTCCTCTTCAGCCTTTTCCCTCTCCAAACACTGGAAACTAGGCTGTCTTTTCTCTAAATAAGACACCCCTTGAATTTCCGCATGAATCAGTAGGAGTGTTGAGGGCCACCCCATGGAGTCGGTTCCTGGCATTCCTTTCAGGTCTACAGGGGGCCCTCACCACCTCACTGGGGAAGTCTGCTCTCAAGCACATCCCTGGCGTGTATCAAGCTATTCGTGGCCAAGGATGTTGTGCATTTAGCATTTTCTTGGAATGTCAAAGTCTCTGACTTGTTTGAACTGTCAATGGTCAACAGTCAGTGCTCCAGACACCCTCTACTCCCTGCAGAGATGGGTAATCCAGGGCATTCCCTTCACTAGACATGTGGAAACCCATTCTGTAATACATATTTCAAACACTAACCATTCTTTAGAAAAGATTTTCCTCCAGCCTTCATAAGATCGTTCCTCCCTCAGTGGCCTCTTTCTAGGCTGTTCCATAATCTAGTCATCTGTTCATCTTCTAGCACAGACTCTGGCTAGATGTTAAATGAAGCCCATCTTGATAGTAGAGTGACCGCCTGGTGCTTATCGTGTTTCTGTCTGTTCCCCACAGTGCTGTGGCTCACCAGTGAACAGATAGATGCTGATCAACCCCAGAACACATCCACAGACTTGCAGAGACACAAGTTCCAGCAGGAACACAGTTACCTGAGGAGTGAGATAGGGGATATTATCTATATAGGCAGCTTTAGGACCAGCAGGAGCTTGGTGGACAGAAAGGGAAACTCCTGGGGCCCACCAGATGAGACAGATATGTGGAATGATTCACAACTTGAGACCTTCATGGGCTGCCATGGAAACTACATGTTCTCTCCAGCTGCCACGGCTTGGGGGAGATACTTTTCAAATCTCATTGTCTCCCGCTGTTGCTTTAAAGCTGCCTCCCTTCCCAGCTGCTGCTCCTGTCCTTTCCCAGCCCATTTTCCCACTCAGCAGTGACCTCTGCTCTAGGTCTGCTGGCAGAACTCTTGGGCAGACCATGGAGTCAAGGTTGAATGGAGAAATGAGAGCAAGAAAGAACAGGCGGCATCACAGAGAACAGGCATTCAGGAAGACAGCGAGGTTGGAAATAAGAACAGATCCTTGCCAAGTCTGTCAATTTCTGTTGGGTGGTAGAAGAGAGAGAGGCAGACAGAGCATCGAACCCTATAACCTTTAGCAAGGTCAACAGGTTTAGGAATGGTCAGTAGTTAGTAAATTTAATAATTTAGTCAAGGATTTGGAAACATTAAAATACAAAATATATTTTTCTAAATTTTTCCCTTTTAAGAGGATATCACCGTTCCAGAAAGGAGATATCCAAGAATCCTAGAGTTCCTAGGACTCGGGAATTTAGTCAGAGCCCTACAAAAGCTTTCAGGTCTTTAGTAGAAAGATCGAAGGCCACTTACTGGATACAGTTTTCTCACTTTTCCTTGTACAGATATGAGCGTGCTATCCAACATTGGGCTTTTAGCCCCACTTACGATGTTTATAATTTGAAGCCCAAAGTTGTATTTTTATCTTTAAGAACTCTTTAATATACTCTATCTGCTATCTGAGATTGATTTGTGTTGTAGTTATCTTTAAGAGTCACATTACCCATGATCTATGAGTGTTCTGGACTCTGGTTTTGACTTAACTAATACATATTTCTCCTGACAGGTTAACCTGCCCTTTGAACTCAGCAGTGGTTCTAGCATCCTATGCAGTACAATGTAAGTCCTGAGGGAGATTAAACAGGTGGGAGGTTGTTCTGACCAGCATGTTGAGGAAGCCACCAGCTGCTCTCTTTGAGGGAGTCCCTTTTTTCAGGATACCTGGGGTGGAGCGGGTCTCTTGCTGTCAGAATAATCGTTATTTTAACCCAAGTCCTACTCTCCCCCTTCTTGGGGATGTTGGATAGACACTGGTGCTGAAGGAAGGAGTGAGCTCTGGTTGTGGCATTTTTCCCCCCAAGGAAGCCATGAAACAGTAGATAGCTACCACATACGACTTTTTCCAGAGCCTTTGCCCAGGTATTTGGATTTGGTCTCCATACAAACCCCAGTGGAACAATATTTATATCTGTCTCCTCTTCTAAACATGGCAGTTGAGCCCCAGCTAGGTTAAGGAATTTGCTGGAAGATACTCCTGTTGCTTGCTTGATGCCTGTCTTAAATGATACTGGGAGCTTATGAATTCATATTCAGTTTGAATATAGCTAATGGGCTATATACTGGTCTATGACAATGCTGTCCAATATAAGGTGGAAAATGTGCTGTGAAAGCTGCTTATGTAATTCTCAGTTTTCTAGTAACCACATTTAAAAAAAGTAAAACAAGGGCTGGAATATAGCTCAGCTGGCAGAGTACCAACCCAGCATACACAAAGCCTTGAGTTCCGTATCCAGCACTGCATGAACAAAGTATAGTATGACAGCCTGTAATCCCAGTACTCAGAAGGTGAGAGCAGGAGGATCAGGAGTTCAAGGTCATTCTCAGCTACACAGTAAGTTCAAGGCCAGCCTAGGCTACAGAAGACTGTGTTAAAAAAAAAAAAAGGAAATGAATTTTGAATATTTTATTTAACCCATTTCCAAAGTAGTATCATTTTAATACATAATCAGCCTAAAAACGAATGAGCTGTTTTGTGTTTGTTTTTTCATACCAAGCCTTTGAAATCCAGTCCAAATTTTTCGTGCTTTCTGTACATCTCCATTTCGCAGGCCACATGTGACTATTGGCATCATACTGGATGGAAAGTCCAGGTGGAATTTTCCACCAAGGCTGGTTTAAGCTGTAGAAGAAATCTCTTCTTTCTGTCAACAAAACTTTATTGAGCATATTCCATGTCCAATACTGTGAAAGATGAAATATCACCTAACTATTAGCTGCGTGATGCCAATACAGTAAACCAACATGTTACTTGTATAGAGTTGTACAGTAGTGCAGACTTAAGAACCCTGTCTACCTTTCCAGAGGCCTATTACCTCCTCAGCTGACAGCATTGTAAGTGTTTAAGGGAGCAAAATGATGCAGTCTCAGAGCAGGTGCTGAGCAAAGTACCCATCCCTCTGTAGTCTCAGAAGCACAATAGCCAAAAAAGACGGTCAGGCTGCTGAGGAGGCTACAGGTGTACTTCTTCCCCTAGCAACGAGAATAGAAACAAGACGTGAAGGGCAAGGTTGTTGGACTTGCAGCTTACCTGCCCCCCTGTGCAGATCCAGGGAAAAAGGGAAAGAGGGCTTCAGGGATGACCTCATGACTTTGAGCATACAGCCAGCCTCTTCACTAGTAAGTCAGACCCAACATTAGACTCCACCTCAGCTCCTCCTCTTCCCTCTTCTCAAAGAGGTTGCCCTCTTCCTACATAACATCTGGAATAGACTCAGCACATTATGACCACATGGGAAATGGCACAGTGTGTGACTTTTCCTTGGAGAACATGAACCAACAGATGGAACACCAACAAGAGACCAAAGAAATGATTCCATCAAAGTTCAGCTAATGAGCCAGTGAGTTTTGGTTCATAGGAGCATGGCCGACTCGAAAAACTGCTGCACCAGAAAATCCCACTCCAGTATGGATGATGACCTCCCAAAAGCTGCGTGGATGGAGTCCCCCCTTCAGATAAACTTCCACCTACTATATGCTTTATACCTCCTGAGATTAGGAGCAGCTGGGAGGCTTATATGCCCCTCGCAGTGGGCAAGAAAGAATGGCTGGAATCTTAGGTGTAGATCTGTTAACTCTTCTCCCGCTCCTTCTAGAAGGCCCTAATTTGTGAGGGTCTCATACAATAGTCATGGCTGCTATAATTGAGATGGTGATAGCTGTGTCATGCCCAGAGGACCGTGTTCCATAACATGTGGCCAGAGTCAGCATGCCTCATCAGTCTCTAGATTTGCAGATCCCACTTCTTCCAGACTGATCAGGGACAGAGACACGGACTCTCCCACATGGAAGAGAAGGTCAGGTGTTCACAGCTAGAGCTTCAGGACTGAGAGGCAGGAACTGGAGAAAAGAAAGACCGTGCCCAGTTGAATCTCTGCCTTTTCCATTTGCTGCTACGTGGTGTCACCTCTTTGAACCTTGGGTTTGTCAGCTGTACGTGGAGGTGACGCTGGTGATTGTGCCAACTTCCAGTATGGCTGATTAGTTCAAATTAAATAATACATGTAAAGGTGACCTATAGCTAAAAATTCCTTGTCGTTGGACCAGCACTGAGTCAGTTGAGAACAAAGACTGAAACCATGTTATCTGGGTCTTGGCTCTTCCTCTTAGACCTGAACAACTTTGATCTTTCAGACCTCACCTATCAAGTGGAACCGTAGCAATGTCTGTTCTGCTTTCTAAGGTGGTAGAGAAGATACTACAAACAACAGTGAACAGCATTGTATAGCACCTTTAGAATAGACCCTGGTGCATGGCAAATGTTAGCTCTTGCTATACGTCCATATCAGCCCAGAAGAAAGCTGATTTTGAAAGTTGCCTACACGGCCAGCAAGATGACTCCTTGGGTGAAAGTACTTGTCATCGATGCCTGATAGACTTGAGTTTGATCCCCAGAACCCACAGTGGAAAGAGAACCTAGTCTCCAAAGTTGTCATCTGATCTCCATACATACACTATAATAAATTCAAATTAAATTTGAAAGTTGCTTTTGATAAGCAATAAACACCAATTAGAGAAAAATTAAAGACCCACATCCTGTTCCAAGCCTCCAAAGTCAGGTTCCTCTCTGCAAAAGACTGATAAAAAGGGTAACTACAGCCAGGCGTGGTGGCACACGCCTTTAATCCCAGCACTCGGGAGGCAGAGGCAGGCGGATCTCTGTGAGTTCAAGGCCAGCCTGATCTCCATGGTGAATCCAGGACAGCTGGGGCTACAGGGAGACCCTGTCTCAAAAAGACCAAAAAAAAAAAAAAAAAAAAAAAAAAAAAAAAAAAAAAGGATAACTAAAGAAAATTGTTAGCACCTAAAAAGTACAAACTGACTGACGTAGAAAACTTTGTTTTACTGTTATTAAATCACTGGTTGTGAGGCAAATGTTTCTAAGTACAAGTTTTTTATATTCCTTTAGCCTCAGTAAATAAATATGCATATATTTTCAAACTCTACATACATTTCTGCAGAATTAATTCTTAATATAAAATTACTGTTTCAAAGGTATAACTACATTTTATCTGATAACATTTTGGTAAGTTGTTCCAAGATGGTGTTTAATATTTAAGTCATATTTCTGATCTGCTAACCAAAACACATTTTTCTATTTGATAAAAAGTAAGATGTTTGGAGATAAAATTCCTTTAACACAGTGGTTGAAGATTGCTGGTGGTTAGGGGTTTATGAGGCACAAAGCATGAAAGTTTTGAAAGTAAGTAGTTATTCAAATGTTTCCTGAGACCTGTTACAAGCAGGCTCTGTACCAGCCTCAGGATGGAGGAAGATCACTGCTCTCTCCAAGGGCTCTCCATCCCGGTAGGAAGGCAGGCGAGGACCCAGGATGCTGGCTCTGAGGAAGAGCCCAAAGGATGCACCTCATCCTGCTTGGGGAGGGGAAGGGGTTCTAGAGAAGCATCAGTGGAATGAACCCCAAGAAGAAGGTCCAAAATCAAGTTGCAGTTGGAAGAGCAGCAGGCCAGGGACTTCCCTACCAGGCAGTTCAACCACTGGGAACACCACCCCTGGGGACCTGGGATAGGGAGTTTGGGGCATGTGATAGAGCAAGTGTAAGACTGGTGACTTGTCAGAGGCTCCCAGCTAGTGGCTGAGCAACAGTGATGGGTTCTGCTCTTTATCTGTTTATCTCTTGTTTAATAGGAATAAAAACATTACCCAGGGGGTTGGGGTGGGGATATTTATCCCTGGCCTCCAGTAAGATGACATCATTGAAATGGTTTGGAGACCATCCAGGTTTTTGCAAATGTGTATGTGACTGTTTAACTGTTTCCCCCTAGTGGTTATCAGAGAACTTTGCAGAGTAGCTGCTTAAGATTTCCAGGAAAAAAAAATACCACCCTGCAGCGAAGCATTGGTCCTATGTTGAGCTCAAAATGCTTGTCAGTGACTTTGCTAAAGCAAGAACTTTATAGTCTGTGCCTAAAGAATGGAAGCTGGACCAGGACTGCTAGCTAACGGGATGGATAACCAAATAAGGATTCAGGAAGATCTCCATGAGCGAATGAAACCAACAGAAGAAAATTAAATGGAATTCTTCCTTCTGGCTCAGGAAAATCATTTGCAGTACCTGATGGATCTTTTGGGACATCAACAAAAGACCCTTCAACTGGTGGGATGGGCAAGCAGACTGGTGGGAAGCAGGATACTAAGTCAGGCTTGTACCACCTGGGTCCTGGTCTTGACTCTGCTGAAACATAGGCCTATTGTAGGGGTAGGTCCCTTTAATCTGAACTTAAATGAGGTGACATTAATGCTTTTTCATTGCGTACCCCGTGAGGGCATCTGTTGTAAGCTTCTTTTCCCCCTCACCTGTCACCCTTGTACTTACGAGGAACTAGCCTCTAGCAAAGGTTCAGATTACAAGCATGGAGTTGGAAGCTAATGAGAAGCGCATGCAGCAAGGAGCTTATCAGAAGTGTTTCTGATGAATGCTTTTCTTGTGATGCTGTAGATGTTAATGCAGAGCACACTGTAAAGGCAAAGCTAATGATGATTTTCCCTCATTGTGTTTTAATAGCTCATTTTGGAGACTTTAATTCTTCCGTACATCATCCAGGCTATCTTGCCGACAGCCAGTTCATACCAGATCAAAATGATGACTTTTTAACCAAGGTGGAAACGCTCCATGAGCAGCACAGGTGCGGGGGCTGGGAGCCTGCTTTGGGAACTCAGGCTGGGTATTTTCAGACACTACATCACCTCGTGTTTGATGCCTTCTCTCCTTCCTTTGATTTTTAGACCTTTAACCTTGAAGATGGCAGATATATATTTGACATTGTTTGCATTTTTGTGAAGTATAAAAATGCAATGGGAATCCAGGGTAATGACTAGCACATTCCTCTTCAAAATGTCATTGAAAGTGGTTGGTTACAGAAACAAATGCCTGTTTTACAACCTGATTGATTGTCCTACAAGCTGATTGAACCAGGGGAACCTTTTAGCCATTAAGCTGGTTTATATAAAACAAGCCAGTCCCTCAGGTGTTGTTGAGTGAACAGAGGGAGCTGAAGTGCTGACAGGCTGGGTGGTCCTGGGTTCAGTCTAAGAAAGCTGCTTTCCTCCACATGGGAAGGGGCAGCCACCTCAGGGCAAGCCTCCCATGTAATAAATACCCCAACTTCCAACCTCCTCTTCCCACTCCTCACATGACTTGAAGTTACTTTGGCAGCTGTTCTGTTCACATCTAATGAGGACCACACTGCCTCAGAAGGCCAGCTCTCAAGAGACATCTCGCTTCCTGGGAAGGCCATAAAAACAAAGGGCAAGCAACCAGTGTACCTTCTAAGAAGGCACTGCCAACCCTCTCTCCCAGAATTGCTCCTCAGAGAGAAGTCAGCATCCTAAAATAGCACAAGGCCACTGGCATTTGAAGTGTAAGGGCCACTGTTAAGAGAATAGACCAGCAGAAAGATGAAAGATTATCTATTAATTGGGCAACTTGGCAGGATTAGGGCAGGCATTCTGAAAGGCGATAGTCTGCTGTGTGAAGACCTCTCTGACAGCCCACTAAGTTGGGACTATTCCTTAGTAAAAAATTGAGGGGTCCAGAAGAGGTCAGATTCAGTGGATAAGAAAAAAGAAAAAAAAAACCCTGCTTCAGTAGAATTTTGGCTCAGAGGGTTAGGAGTAGCTGAAGACATTTAGTAACCTTTAATTACCATAGAGGAGGGATGTTAGCACATTCTCCAGCTATCTTTTAAAGCTGAAATTGCCCTCCATTGAGTGAGCTTTGCCTTTTCTTCGGTAGTGGGCTGAAGCAGTCAGAAGCTGAATCTTGCTACATTAACATAGCTCGGACCCTTGACTTCTACGGAGTGGAACTGCACGGCGGTAGAGTATGTATCCTTGTCAAGTTTTAGTTCAGAAATGATTACTTTCTTTCTAATTGCCAGTTTGAAAACTTTCTTGATGAAGCTGTTTCTCTCCCATTGCAACAAACAAGACCTTTAAAAAGTGATTTGGAAGGTTTATTAAGTATTACTGAGTTTTATTGGTCATTTAGTCAATTGCTTTTTCACATTTGACATTGTACCAGACTTTCCTTTGGAGGAATCGGGTCACTAGGAACTTGGAATTTTTCCCAAATTATTCTGTGTTGTAGCTAAGCATGCAAAATAATGGGTTTGGGGCTAAGGATGTAGCTTAGTTGCTAGAGTGCCTGCCTAGCATGCGTGAGACCCTGGGTTTGATCCCCAGTACCACATAAACTAGTGGTGTACACCTTGAATCCAGGAGAGGCAAGAGAAGCAAGGGTGCAGGGTCATCCTCAGCTACATGGTGAGTTTGGAGCCAGCCTGGGTCCCTGTCTCAAATAAAAAGAAATAATGAGGTTTTTTTGTTTTTTTTTTCATACATGTATATCATTGTACTTTGCTCATGTTTACCCCCTCATCACCCTCCTGACCCTCCTCCTGCTGGCCCCCTTTCTCCCCTCAAATCATCCCTTGTCTCCTTTCATGTCATATTATAAATCCATTTTTAAAGTGACAATTTAATGAACGAAGGTGTCTACAACTTCATCTTAAGAACTGCTCAAATTAGAGCTGGTTACTCAAATACAATAAGGCGTGTGTTTGTGTGTTTGTGTGTGTGTGTGTGTGTGTTTACATGTCTGTGTATGTGCATGTATACCTGTGGGTTCCCATGCACCATGTGTGTGCCTGTGGAAGCCAGAGATCGACATCAGGTGTCTTCCTCACTCAGTCTCCAGGGTTTTGAAACAGGGTCTTTCACTGAACCTGATGCTCACTGATTGGTTAAACTGGCTGGCCAGTGAGCTCCAGGGATCCACCTGTCTCCATTCCCCCAGTGCTGGGATTAAAAACATGCATCACCTGGATCCTAGGGGCCAGAGGGCAGGTCCTTAGTCACTCTGCTGACTAAGCCATCTCCCAGCCCTACTCAAGTACAGTAGTTTTAATAAAAGAAATTATAATGATGTGATTGTAAAAACTGATGGATGTTTTAAATTGATTGTGATTGGTTTAATAGAATTGACTAATATGTGTCATCTGCTGAGCAAATTTCTGTGTCTCAGTAGACTGTTTCTTCCATGAATGCCATAACTTGAGTATTACCATGTTTTCCATTTTACAGATGGAAAATGGATGCTCTGCTGACACTCGGCCAGCAGCACATAAGTTGTAGTGTCAATACCTAGCCCCAGCACTAATCATGTCCAACCTTTCAAGACTGACATACTAACATTTCTGCCTGTCATTGACCCCATGGCATACTCAGGATGAAACAACTGTTGGGCTAGAGAGATAGCTCAGTCTATAAAGTGCTTGACTTGAAAGTATAAGGACCTGAGTTCAATCCCCAGAAACTTCATAAAAAAAGAACAGCTTGGCGGTGGTATGGGCTTGTAATCCAGCACCAGAGTGATAAAGACAAAAGGGTCCCTGAGTCTCAGTGGCTCGCCAAGCTAGCTTATTTGATGAACTCCAGGACCAATTGAGACCCTGCCTCCAAAAACAAGGTAGACAGATCCTGAGGAATGACACCCAGAGTTGTCCTCTGACCTCTACACATTTGTACCTACACACACACACACACACACACACACACGTACACGCGCACGCGCACACGCGCACATACCATATTAATTAAGCATTAGCTCTGGGCTAGCCTTTGCTCCAGGTGCTCTCATAGGAGACTCTCAGATCTTATTTTAAGATTAGAAATCTTGCCAGATTGGTATTTTTATGTCTCCATTTGCAGATGAAAAAAGAGAAGTCCATAGAAGTTGGGTAAATGATTTGGGCTTAAATCTAATATTATGTTCTGGCTTCTTTTCAGATGTGTCAGTCCTTTGCCTTACACTATGTTTGAAGTTTATAGAAACAGTTTCACTTATTTGTCTCACTTCTGTCCCATCACAGACCTGAGTTAGACAGGATCTAAAGAATAGGTAATAATCAGGAACAAGATATTGACTCGTATAGAATAACAACTTAATGTTGCAAAGAACCTGTTCCATGGTAGGATGGAGTTTTTATCAATGACCAAAGTTAATCTTCACCATCTCTATTCCTAGAGATGTCAGTGAAATGAACCCTTCAGCATAGAAGGGTGTGAATACCTATAGTCCAGGTACTTGGGAGACTGAGGCAGGAGGATAGTAAATTGAGGCCAACGTGGACTACATAGTGGGTGCCAGGTCAGCCTGGTATAATGTGGAGACCCTATAGCTTCCCTGTCTTCCCATGTGGCTTCCTTGTCACAAACTAGAGGGTGATACCCAGCTTTTCAGTGCCTCTGCCCAGAAGGGTCACATCACTGTGCTCAGAGCACATGGCAGGAACTGATCATGTGATCCTGCCTTCTGCAAAAGGAGGTTGGGATGTGGGTCTGGCATGGAACTTCGGTGAACAGTAACTCTGTGGTGCTGGGTTGAAGGTACACACTGGAAAACCACAGACCTGGCCGACATGAGACCCAGTCCATGACCCACCAACCCATTCTTTTATTGCTTGATTTGCTCGGCTTTGATGTCGTCTGCTGATTTGTTCCTCTCGCTGTGCTGTGATGGGTGTCATGCGTGCAACAACCTGTTCTTTGCCATACAGTCTGGCTCTGCTTAAGTGCATGATTGAAGCTCGTAGCTCTGGATGTTCTCTGTGTCAATGCCATTTCCGTGTTCAGTTTGTGTACCTTCCTCATTCCCTCACTACTCATAAATGATGGCCTCACCCAACAGAAAGTGAGCGCTCATTAAAACCTGCCACATGCCAGTCCCTGCCAGAGCTCCGCATACACAGCCCTGTTCTGGGTTCTTTCCTTTTTTGTCTGATTTCAGCCCTATACAAACCTTCAAGGTGGGTCCTCTGATCTTTATAATGCAAAAAGGGAAATGAAGGCTCCTCTGAGCCCCAAACGACATAATCGAACAGTGCAGGCCAAAGGTTCACACTCAGTTATAACCAGCTTACACTCTGCCCCATTTTTATAGTCACAGTATCTGATTGGAACAGGAATGTATGTGACTCAGGGAAAGAACTATTGTCCTTTGAATTTTATTTGCTTATACTCAAGTGGATTCAAAACAGCTTAAGTCTCTGTGTTTCCTCCTGTGTCTGCATTGCCTATAGCAGTGCCCAGGCCCTTAGCCAGACTATGCTGGATTCATAAGCAGCATTTATTTCTAAATTGGATTTAAAATCATTTCTAGTCCTGTAATTTTTCTTTATTATATCATAATAGCTAAAGCCTTTTCAATAATTGGAGTTGAGATTTGTGCAGAGCTACACGGGGGAGGCCTGTCTGATTTTATATGGCTACCAAATGCTTATTGTTGAAATTCAAAACAATATTTATATAAGTGATTCTGTGGAATGAATGATTTATTTGGTAACTTCCTAAACCAGGTATTATAACATGCTCTGTGTGTGTGTGTGTGTGTGTGTGTGTGTGTGTGTGTGGTTGTGTATGTGTATGTGTTCACTTGAGACAAACTGGGTGCTAAGTACTTGGCTCTTAAGTAGCTCTTAAGTGGGGATTTTTTCCTGTGTTCAGTAGCATCTTTCCCTCTAGAGCTGCTAAATGCTGCTATTTATAAAAGCATGGGTGCTTTAAAGATACCAGAGGACCGGGAGAATGGCTGTGATGCACTGTGAATCTGGGATCATCCTTTTTTTCAGGATCTGCACAATTTAGATCTAATGATTGGAATTGCCTCTGCGGGCATTGCTGTATACCGAAAATATATTTGCACAAGTTTCTATCCTTGGTAAGTGCAAACACTTGGAATTGTCTGAATCATGCTTTAAAAATATGCCGAACAAAAGTGATGTTACTCAAATTTTAAACTTTTCTTTCTGAAGAACTAAAGATTTTCCCACAAGTTTTAACCCCTGAACTTTGAATTTGATCCAGATTTAGAACTTGGGAAAGTTAGCATGGGTTTTCATTAATTTCCCTCTGCCTGTCTTCCTGTGGTTTGGGACAGTTTGTGGAAATTTGGTAGGTAAGTGACAGAAGGCGGGTCTTAGTCTTGAGAAATCCTTGTGTTGGAGCTCACACCTAGATTCAGTGAACCTGAACCTGTAAATCGTACCAAACCCTATGTATTCCCCTGTGCACATACCTTGATAACATTTAATTTCTAACTTAAGTCCACTAAGTGATTAAAAGTAACACGTAATGAAATAAAACATAGTCTAACAGTATACTGTAATGAATGACGTGACTGCGGCCTCTCTCTTGAGTCAAGACAGTATTTCAGACTGTGGTTGACTCTGGGCAACTGAAACCAGGGGAAACAAAAGCAGTGGGGGAGGGGACTGGAGACGGCTCTATCTTTTAAAAAAATATTTGATCTATTATTTTTATTTTATGTGTATGAGTATATTGCCTGCATGTAGGTAGATGCACCTGTGTCATGCATTGCCTATGGAGGTCAGAAGAGGATGTCAGGTCCCCTGTAATTGGAGTTATGGACAGTTGTTAGCCACCATGTGGGTGCTGGGATTCGAACCTGGGCCTTCAGCAAGAACAGCCAGTGCTTCTAACCTCTGTGAACCATCTCTCCAGCCCCTAGAATTGATTATTCAGGAGAAAATTGAATTTGCCCTACTAGATAATAGGAAGCTTTCTTCAAGAAGATACTACACTACCCAAAGAATTTTTATAAATGACAGCATGAGCATGTGAGGGTGGGGTGGGACAGGTTTGCTGGCAGATTGAGGAGAGTGAGTGCTGCAGGCCCTGGGAAATACAGAAGCACACACATGTAAAGACCACACATGTAAAGAAAAGTGGCCATAAGGAAGGGAGTTAGGGAAAAGAGAAAGAGAAAATTTGGGTGTCAGAGTTGTGGCACACCAGGGGTGATACTTAGGTCTACATCTGTTCCTCAGTTTGATGACATAAAACTTCATGAACTGAGACACAAAGATGTTCAGGACAGCATTGCCTCTGACAGAAGAAGAAGGAGGAGGAGGAGGAGGAAGGGAGGAGGAGGAGGAGAGGGAGGAGGAGAGGGAGGAGGAAAGGGGGGAGGAGGAGGAGGAGGAGGAGGAGGAGGAGGAGGAGGAGAAAAAAACCCTAAATAAAATTACAGAGATAATAATGGGGCTAGCAGCTGTCAGTGTTGAGTGTTTTGGGTATCCAAGTCATGTTATTATGTATTTTATTTATGTCACTTAAACCTTAAACACACCATTCAATTTCTCAGAGGAGGAAGCTGTAAAACAAAGAAGTTTGTAGAAACTTGTCCAGGGTCACACCACTAATAATCAGTCCAGTTGAAATTGACATCTGGATTGTTAGGCTCCAACACCTATACTTTTTCTTACCACTAAAAATTGTGGTCGTGGGAAAAAATACTTAAATAGAATGCACATTTAGAGATACCGGTGTTTCAGTTGATTTTAAATACCTCTAATTTTCAAAAACACCATGTCACAGTCCTATTTAATTCTACAATAAAATCAATGTGGCAGGTAACAGGATCTCCTGCCTTCTTTTTTTCATCATGTCTTGTTAAAAGTCCCTCACGGGAAGCAAGAAATCCCAGGTATGGCTTAGCTAGCTGGGCTGTGGCCTGGGCAGCTCTGGCCTGCTCAGAACCAGGACCAGGCTGTGGGCACAGGCCTCATTTTCTCATTCTTACTCAAATGCCTCCAGCTTCCCCCAGGTGCCTCAGGCCAGATGCCACCTGGTTCTGGCTCTTGCCAGTGGTTGTATCTCCAAGGGCCTCCTAAGTAAGTGTTGGGCCATCAATTTAAAGGAAGATTTGAATCTTTTAAGGAAAGGAATAAGAAAACTCATAGGGGCTGCAGAAATGGCTTAGTGGTTAAGAGCACTTGCCATTCTTCCAGAGGACCAAGGTTCAGTTCCCAGGACCCTCAAGGCAGCTAAAAACCATCAATAACTCCAATTCCAGGGGATCTGAGTCCTCTTCTGGCCTCTGCCAGGTACTGCATACACATGGTATACTTACATACATGTAGGCAAACACTCATACACACATAAAATAATAAAATATTTTTTAAAAACTTCATGAAGCAGGTTTGTCAATGGAAACCTTTAGGACAGGACCTGCAGGGCCTCTTGACAACCTGTTAGTCCCCCAGGCTCACCTACAGATAATCTCTCAATCTGAAACTGGCTGTTAAAGTCCATCTCTGATCCCAGGGCTGTGTTAGTTACTTTTCTTAGCATTATGAAAAAAATGTCTGACAGAAGCAACTTAGGGGAGGGGAGGCTGGCTCACAGTTCAAAGGATACAGTCCATCATGACAAGAACCTTGGCAGCTGGACTGGCTCAGTGCATGGCTGTAGAAGCTTGTGATGTGGTTTTATAACACCTTAGTGGATCAGGAGACAGGAGAACCTTCAGGGCCACACTACCAGAGATCCATTTCTGATACCTAGGTTTTACATTCCAACGGTTCAACAACTTCCCCAAACAGTGCCGGAACTAGCTGAAGATCAGGTGTTCAAACATATGAACATTTCACATTTGAACTATAATAAATACAAACCTCAGAGACCAGCAGGAAGTCTAGTGCTGGACGGTAACCCCAAGGTAATAAGTCAGATACACAGGGCAGGCAGGGTGCCCAAGGGCCCAGAGCCTCCAAGAGTGAACAGTAGAATTCTAAAGAGAATGGACATTAGCCTCAGGGAGTATATTCTGGAAAGAAGGTACAGAGCGTGTGTATCTCCAGCAACAAAGGAGAATACGGTGGTGAGTGGTGGTGGTGGTGGTGGGTTAGGCTAGAGCATGGTGTGATGTAGGAAGTTGCTGGAGAGTAAACTGGCCACGGAGGGCCTCACAGGAACACAGGAGCAGAGACTCAGTGTGTAAACTAGAGTCTTCGAATGCAGTGGCTACAGTGATATGGCTCTATATATCATTTGGTACCTGCCTCCTTCATTAGATTATAAACGTCCAAATGGACTGTCTCGTTCTCTCTGTCTCCGGGGCCTGGCATAGAACTTAGTCCTAGACATTCAGTACATTTGTTCTTTCCTTATAAATGAATGAAGGGCAGTAAGGAGCCCCACCTTCACCCCAGAAATCATGCCTGCACTTCTTCAGATTTGCTTTGTTGGAGAACAGCCAAGGACAGAGAACAGGCACTGAGTCAGAGCTGTCTGAACTAGGGTGCCTGACAGGGGACCCTGATACATGAAGCCAGTGGCAAACAAAAGGTCCATGGCTTCCACTGAGTCCAGAAAGACAAGGGTAGGAACTCCAGGACTGATGAGTTTGTTCTCCAGATTCCTTTGAAATGGAAATTCTTGCATTTGCCCTTTAGCACAAAACTGTATGGAGGAGACCCACCCACCTTAGGGTTCCATGTTCCGTGGTGAGGGCCTAACAAGGACTGAACCTAAGAGCCTTCTGTTCCTTAAATGGTTAACCTGAAGTCACCCCCCAGAATTCACTTGTGAAATCTGCCATTAGATTATTTAATTAGATGTTTGTGTGCTGTGTATATTGCTGATCTACATGGGGGAAAGTCACATAAGTAAACTTTCACTTTATATACCAAACCTCTGCTCTAGAATGCTCTTACCAAAGTCTTGATAACGATCCTAAATAATAGGGCTAAGGGTTCTGGCTGCTCTTCCAGAGGATCCTGGTTCAGTTCCCAGCACCCACATGACAACTAACAACCACCCCTAACTCCAGTTCCAGGGGATCCTATGCCCTCTTCTGGCCTCTGCGGGCATTGCATGCACAGGTGCACTAACATAAATGCAGGCAAAATACTTGTATACATGAAATAAAAATATAATATTTTTTAAAAAGAATAGCAGACTTCCTTTATTCTTACCAATTATTACAGATGTAAAAAAATTCTGGTGGGGAAATATGCCTCCTCCCTTGGGTGGGTTACAGTAGCTTATCTTAGGTGAATGAGATTGATTTAAATAGTGGACTTGTACTGATCACGGTGGTGCATACTTGTAATTCTCTCACTGCAGGTCAAAAACAAGATGATCTCCATATTTGGTAGCCAGGCAACCAAGCCTAATCAATGAGCTCTGGGCCAAGTAAGAGACCCTTCCTCAAAAAAAAAAGTGGACAGCACCTGAGGAAGAACACAGTTGATCTCTGGCTTCCACATGTACCTACATTAAAACACACACACACACACACACACACACACACACACACACACAAAGTGGACTCCTTAAACAGTTTTATGCAAAGAACCAACACTGAGAGCCCACAGTGTACCAGGCATGGTGTAAGGACTTGATGTGCTCAGTCTTTCTAAAGCTTCACAGGCCCGTGGTGAAAAAGTCCATGATAGCCCACTGTCCAGCAGCTATCATCATAGATCCCAAGAGCACCAGGCTCAGATCCTGGCTTCCAGCAGTGACATCTCTGAGCCTCAGCTTCCTCTTCTGAAAACTAGGTGCAGGACCACTCCATATTGTTCAGGATTGTTGCAAGACTCAATGGAGTGGTCTGGTATATAACGATAAACCCCATGACTGGTAGCTGCCATTCTGTATTCTGTACATCACTGTTAAGTAACAGAGCTGGTATACAACCCAGGCCTGTCCTCCTTCTGCTCCACACTGCCCTCAGCTGTCTTCCCCACGTGGCCACCAGCTCCTGCAGGGCTGCAGTGTCATGAAAGAAGCTGACGGCAAAGAGTGCGCATGGCCCACACTCCTTGTTATTTAAAAGCTACCTCACCATCCAGAGGCCCTGTGGAGACTCGGCTCAGTCAGCTCCTTGGGTTTGGCTGAAGCTGTGTGGAAGCATGCTTCCTGAAGCCGGGAGCCGCTAGTCATCTGGAGGATCATGGACTAGGGTACCCATGCTGAAGGGAATCAGCTATAGCCCAGAAGAAACCTGATGTGTTTGTTTTATTTGCATTTTGTTTTATGTTTTGTATTATGTGTGATTTTGTTTGGTTTTTTACAGGGTGAACATCCTCAAAATTTCTTTCAAAAGGAAAAAATTCTTTATACATCAGCGGCAAAAACAGGTGAGTTGTGTCCAATGCTTGCTTTGTTTCCTGTGTTTTTGAAGTCTTTAGCTCTCAGTTCCCCAGGGGTTGGAGGCAATTTGCTGTCTATGTCATAGGAACGAAAGACTATGGCTCAGTGGCACTGGGGTCTTTGGACCCAGTGATCCTCTCCCGGAGTCACTTTGTTCCTTCTGTTGGAGAAGGAGCTTGCTTTGGAGTCAGAGACTCTGGATCCAGACCCTGGCCCTTCTCTGTAACCGTAAGGCAGTTTATTTCACCTCCTGTAGCCCAAATTACCTTGTTTCTAGGAACTTGATAATGCCCAGTTCTTAGGGAGCCACATGGATTAGATGAAAGGGCCCACTGCATACCTAGCAACAGAGCCCACTACTAAGTAGCAGAAAGCATCCACCAGGCCAGCCCCTCTGATGCAATTCATGCATGCTAGCTGGTGCCTGTGTCTTATCAGAGGCTCCTAGACAATTCTGTTTGCCTAGCCACAGGCAGAAGTACATTCAGTCAGAAAGCCGAGGCTCCCACAGCCTCAGCGTGGAGAGCTGGAATCTGAACCGAGATGCCTGCTCTCTCCGCACCACACCCTGTCTTGTTATGCCGCATAGTTGTCACTGTCGCTGTGTCCCTTTCCCAACTTTTCAAAGATGATATGTCCTCAGACTGGCACCACAGAGAAAATGCACCCTTAGAAACAGGATCACTAGAGTTCAGATCACCAAGGACTGGAATTGGGGTCACCCAACCCCTGACTACAGGATTGGTCAGAGTGATACCAAAATGCAATGGAATCAGAAAACCTAAATGCATGTAGATGCAGGCAAAGCCAGTGATGAAAGTGCTTATGGTAAGTGAGCAGTAGAGTTCACTTTGGGGCAGAAAATGGAGGCTCCCCGGGGTTATAAAATCACTGTTACCTGGTTAGTGAAAGTATTTCTTCATGAAAGAGATGTTCCCAGGGCTGAGTTTTAAAAAGGATTTTATCAGACAGGAGCTCCAAATATATGCACCCTTGAGCTATATAAGCAGGTTTAAAATAAGAGTGTTTGTGAAGGACCCCAGATGGTGAGGAGGTATGGATTCAGGTCATCTTTGTTACCACATCCACAGAGTGTTAACATTTCTGCTCTGGAATATTCCTGGTATTTGGAAGCCTGCCCCCTACCACTGGTTGCATCTTGCATGGTTATCCCCTGTGTGGGTAGCAAGCTTGAGACACCTTTACCCTACACCTTTACAGTGCAGTTTCTACTGTTCTTCTTCCCAGGCTGAATCCAGGGAACATATCGTGGCCTTCAACATGCTAAATTACAGATCTTGCAAAAACTTGTGGAAATCCTGTGTCGAGCACCATTCATTCTTTCAAGCCAAAAAATTACTACCTCAGGAAAAGAATGTTCTGTCTCAGTACTGGACGCTGGGCTCCAGGAACCCCAAAAAGTGAGTATTCTTTAGGGGCACTGTCCACACTAAACTGAGATGTTAGTGTGTCCTGGCCACCACTGTGTCATGGACATTGTTGGGCAGAAAGACAACGATGAGGCTGGGACCCCAAATTTTAGATCCCTGAATGATGGTTGAGTCTCTCCAGAGCCAGCTGTGTTCCTAGCATACATCCTTGGGTACATTGCATATTCCCAGTGTTTGTTCTGCTCCCTCAACCCTACTGTCCTCAGAGCTCCCAGAATTGCAACTGTCACCACACCTTGTCCAGTAAAGAACTTTTGAGTGTCATCTTGGTCCCAGCATATTGGGCTTGTCACAGCCTGAGGTCACTATGCCAGCCCCTCCCATACAACATTAGCTCATAAAGCACCCAATAAAAATGAATAAAATAAAGGGTTTCAGAGTCAAGTGACTTTAGAGTATATTGCCAATAATAGCTCCAAAATAATTATAATTGGCAATTACCTAGTGTTTATGACAAGAACAAACTTAACTATATTTAATTCTTGCAACTATCCTAAGAGTTACCTGCCCTCCACAATGATCTAGGTAAAGAAACAAAGCAGCATCAGAAGCTAGTGCTTTTGATCCCAGCACACTGGAGGAAGAGGCAGGTGGATCTCTGTAGGATTTAGGCCAGCCTAGTCTACATAGTTTCAGGCCAGCTGGGGCTACAGGGAAACCCTGTCTCAAAAAGACAAAAAAAGACCAAAAAAAAAAAAGCAAAACCAAACAAAATCTAAAAACAAACAAAAATTACTCTTTCACAATTTCATACCTGCTTGTATGTATGTATGTATGTGTATATATATATAAATTATATAATACATTTAAAATTTTTAACTTAAAATGTATTGAGTCTCTAAATAAAATAACTGGGCAGCTTATATTCTTTTTGTAAATTATTTTAATTTGATGTGTGTGTCTGCATGTATGTATGCATACCACCTGTATGCCTCGTGCCCTTGGAGGCCAGAAGAGGGCGTTGTATCTCCTGGAACTTGGAGTTGCAGGTGATTGTGCGCCTCCGGATATGGGTGCTGGGAACCAAACCCAGGTCCTCTATAAGAGCATCCAATGCTCTTAACTGCTAAGTCATCTCTCCAACCCCTAGCTAATATTCTTATTTTGTTTGTTCTTAGATAGTTTTGTGAGTATAAGAGGTAGCAGAAATTGTTTATCAAGTTATTAGAATTTCTAAAATCATTTGATGGTTTTTCAAAATGGTTGTGATGGATTGTCATTGATGTGGCTGTTTCTAAAATGAGGTTCGTGTCTGAGCTGGTTCTAAAATGTTATCTGATGTGGAACTTCATCAAAATGTCCTACTGGCTTCCTTATTGCAGGATAGTTGTTAGGTAACAAGGATTTGGTAAACGGCAAATTGCCTTTGATATTAGTGGTATTATTTCTACTGCTGAATTCTCTCTCTCTCTCTCTCTCTCTCTCACTCTCTCTCTCTCTCAACTTCTGATGAACCAAGAGCAACATAGTTTTAAGTTTTTTAACTCTTAAAATACTGTCTAACATTTCTATGAATTCAATAGCTCTGTTATTGACAAGCCACGTAATTTAGTGGAGGCAGCTGTAGCAATACTTTGTATTTACCCTGCTGTGTGGACACGGAAGCCACTTGCTGAGTGGTCCCTCTGTCCAGCCAGACACATTGGATGGGAGCTGTGCCCAGGCTTGGTGCAGCAGCCACCAGCAGTGGCCCTGCCCTCTACAGTGGGCTCACTTACTGCTACTTCTCAACAGCTAAGACCAACAGCCCAGACAGCAACCACTGCAGCTGGTGAGGCTGTGGCTCTGTGTTGGACACTCACCGGGTCAAGCCATCCCTGGAGGGTTTCCCTGGTGGAAGTAATGCTGAGCACTTCAGGCCTGGCATCACTCACCAGGAGCCTCAGGAATCTATCTCATGTGAAAAGCAACAGCAATAGCAGTTAGGTAGCCTCCACAGCTGTGAGATCCAACAGTTCTGGGGATGTGTCCAAGACCCAGGTTCAGTTTCCAGCACCCACATGGTGGCTAACAACTATCCATAACTCCAGTTCCAGGGGATCTAATGCCCTCTTCTAACCTCTGTGGGCATTGCATGACATGGGTGCACTTACATATATGCAGGCAATACACTTATACACATAAAATAAAAATAATACAGAAAAAAAATTCAGATTGAGGCGATAGAAAATTGGCTTTTGTGACCATTTCAGCATAAAAGTGATTGAGCGGAAGGAGAAAGCACAGACACCCTGGTGAACCGCTCCTGATGTGCAGTTTCCTTGCTTCAGAGTGGCTGTGGAAGGGGTGATCGCACTGCAGAAGTGTGATGAGATGGTGCGGAGTTGGCTTGGAATGGGGCCTCCTTTGCTGTCAGTGTTTCTGGTTCATGTGACCCCCTTCACCCCCATGTCAGGATGCTATTGTTGGTTATTTGCCAGAAGCAGTTTTCTTCCAAATAAGAATTGACTAGAATATAGTCTTGAATTAGGTTGGAACTAATTCTCCAGGCAGGTGGGAGGTAGCATCGTGAGGGACTGAAAGGGTCCACTCCGTCACTGAGCAGCAGGGTTCCTATCCTTCCTCTGTCACTTGAGTTCTAGTCTGCCGCCTCGGTTTCCTCATCTGCTAACTCTTTCCTCTGCAGCTGGTGCAGGGAACTGGGTTCTGGTCATCTTCCATGGCATAATAACTAATATTTTGATGCTTACAGCAATCCTTTTTTTAAAAAAATTCATTATTTTTATTTTATGTGTTTGAGTATATTGCCTGCATGTATGTAAGTGCACCTATGTCAGGCAATGCCTGTGGAGGTCAGAAGAGGGTGTCGAATCCCCTGGAACTGGAGTTACAGACAGTTCTTAGTTACCATGTGGGCCCTGGGAATTGAACCAGAGCCCTCTGCAAGAGCTGCCAGTGCTCTTAACCACTGAGCGATCTCTCCAGCCCCGACTTACCGTAATTCTATTTTGTTATATCTTGAGATTTGTGAGTCAAGCCAGGTATGGTGGTGCATGCCTTTAATCCCAGCACTTGGGAGGCTGAGGCAGGCAGATTTCTGAGATCAAGGCCAGCCTGGTCTACATAGCAAGTTCCAGGCCATTTGGGGCAAAAGAGAGACAGTGTCTCAAAAAAAAAATAAATAAAAGATGTGGGTCAGGAATCCGGGAAGAGCTTAGCCAGTTACATTTCTGCTGCATGTGGGACAGACAGAAGTTTCGTGATACACAGCTTGAGTCTGGACTGTTCTGAAGATTTGAGAATGTTTTCTTGCATGCCTGGTATCTTGGTAGAAGCAGTGGGAGTTGGGCTTGCCTGGCCCCTCAGCCTGTCTTCTTGGACGCTGCTGCAAGGTGACTGAATTTCTCCTACAGGGGTTTAGGTCACCAAGAGCCAAAGGGAGAATTAACCACTCCACCTAAGGGTGCACACAACTAACTGGCCCAGCTCCTCTGTACATTAGAACAGTTGCAGTCGCCCAGAAGTCACTACTCAGAGAGCTGGCAGCCATCTTTGATCATTCACAGAGTGCTGCTTGAAGCATGGAAGGTGGTTTGGGGACACAAGTCATCAGCTCTTTATTGATACCAGCTTTCAGCATGTTGAGAGTTTCAGCCCTTTAATTTTTTTATTACACTTATTTATTTGGGGGAGGGTGGGGGGTTGCCATTATATACATGTAGAGGTCAGGGGACAACTTGTGGGAGTTGGTTCTCTCCTCCCACTGTGTGAGTCCAGAGGTTAAACATGGGTCATCAAGCTTGGTGGCAAGCATAGCACTGAGCCATCTCACTGGCCTCAATTTCAGCTCTTATCATCTTTTTATTTCGCAGATGAAGAAACAGAGACGTTACATGATTTCCCACTCCTAGAGATACAGCCACACATCTGTGTGTTCAGCTTTTTGATATGTTCCATGCAAGAAGAATTTGTTCATTATTTCCCAAGTTTATGGCACAGTGAAACGGTCACTACAGTGCTTTGGAGATCTGCTACCTTATTTTCCCAAGACATTAGAACGTGGTTTAAAATTTGAAATGCCAGAACTGAAAATGTTACTCTTAACCAGACTTAAAAAGATTTACTAAGGCAGTCTGTTCTCCAAGATTTAAATTCTCTCTAAATAAAATTCAGAAGTATCCTTCAGGAAGCACATTCAGAGCACATGACCCGGAGCTGTTCTTTCTAAATACATTCTCAGGTTCTCTGTCAGTTACTAGTAGTTTATGTGGTGGCATCCTCTGGCCAGGGTGGCTGAAAGCATTTGGAAGGATGGTTAATACTTTTGTTCATGCCAGTGTGAGGCAAGTGAGAATCCCTTGAAGTGACTGGAACCGTGCTGTTCTGTGCTATTCTGGCATTTTTCTAATCTGGTATGCTTTGGTTATAGTCTAGAAACAACTAGAAACACAAAAGCATTTTCATCAAAAGAGAAGAGGGCACCCTGGGGCTGGCAAATGGCTCTGCAGGTAAAGGCCCTTGCTGCCAAGCCTGATGACCTGAGTTTGATCCCCAGACCTACATGGTGGAAAGAAGAGAACTGATTCCTACAAGTCGTCCTCTGACCTCCACATATGCACTATGTCCCTCCCCCCGCCCCAAATTAATAAATGTAATTTTTTAATTTAAAATTTTTACTTTATGTATATGAGTGTTTTGCCTGCATGTATGTAAGTGCACCCATGTTGTGCAATCTCCACAGAGACCAGAGAGGGCATCAGGTCCCATTACACTGGAGCTATAGATGGTTATTAGCGGCTATGTGGTTGCTCAGAACTGAACCTGGGTCCTCTGCAAGAGCAGCCAGTGCTCTTAGCCACTGAGCAATCTCTCCAGGCCCATAAATAAATGGTTTTTTTGTTGGTTTTTTTTTTTTTTTTATTTGTCTTTTCGAGACAGGGTCTCCCTGTAGCCCCAGCTGTCCAGGAACTCACTATCTAGAACAGGCTGGCCTTGAACTCACAGAGATTTTCCTGCCTCTGCCTCCCAAGTACTGGGATTTAAAAGTGTGTACCACCACGCCCGGCCAGTGTATATTTTCTAATGGAGATAAGTGCAGCTTTTTTGTTCTTTATTATATAATTCTGGATATAAATCCTTTATCAGTTAAATAGTTGGCAACTATATGCAGTGCCCACAGAGGACAGAAAGGCCATCAGATCCCCTGGAACCAGAGTTACAGACAGTTGTTAGCTGCTATGTGCGTTCTGGAATCCGAACCCAGGTCTTCTGCAAGAACAGTCAGTGCTCTTAACCGCTGAGCCATCTCTCCAGCCCCAATAAATGTAATTTAAAGATTTTTTTTTTTTTAATTTGGGGCTGGAGAGATGGCTCAGCAGTTAAGAGCACTGACTGCTCTTGCAGAGGACGTGGGTTCAATTCCCAGCACCCACATGGCGGCTACGAACCATCCTTAACTCCAGTTCCAGGGGAATCAGATGCCCCCTTCTCACCTCCACAGCATTGCACGACACAGGTGCACTCACATCATGCAGACAATACACACATACACATAAAAATAATAAAATATATTTGATTTTTTTTTTTAATTTATAAAAGGGTACTCTGGAGACTGACTGCCCCCATTCCTCATTAATGAGGCTAGTGTGACCTGGGCTGGTGTCATGGAGGTGTTAAGCAACCATTGTCAGGGAAGGAGCTGGAGAGACTGTATTTCACAGATGTTTCACTTACTTTCTTGTTGGATGAGTCAGTGTGGAAAGTGACCCTGCATCTGGTTTTTCAGGTCTGTAAATAACCAATATTGCAAAAAGGTGATTGGAGGAATGGTGTGGAACCCAGCCATGAGGAGGTCCTTGTCAGTGGAGCAGCTGGAAACCAAAAGCCTACCTTCCCGGTCCCCTCCCATCACTCCCAACTGGTACGTTTTCTTTATACTGTGTACCAGCAGACACCTCTCTTTTAAAAACACAGACTCAGCTTTAAATTCGTCAGCAAAGATGGCCTACAGCCAGAGTTCCCATGTGCATTCTACACTGTTGCACAAGGAACTGGTCTCCTGAGTTACACAGACTTGCTGAATATGTCCATGGTGGACAATGCTAAAGTGGCCTTTTAATTTTTTTTTAATCATGCGATAATTCTTTGTATTCATGGTATACACTATGATATTCTTGCACAATATATAATGCATAGTATTAATCAAAGTAATGGACATATCCATCACCTCAGACAAGCATCACTTCCTTGTGTTAAGAACTTAAAAATCCTTTCTAGGGGCTGGAGAGATGGCTCAGTGGTTAAGAACACTGGTTGTTCTTGCAGAAGACCCTGGTTCGAATTCCCGCAACTCCAGTCCCAGGGGATCTGACAACCTCTTCTGACCTCTGGGAGCATTGCACAACACGGGTGCACTTACCTACATGCAAGCAGTACATGCATACACATGAAATAAAAATAATAAATATTTTTTTAAAATCCTTTGTAGTAGTTGGACACAGTGGTGGATACCTGTAACCTGAACACTTGGGAACGTGAGGCAAGAGGATCAAGTGTTCAAGGCCAGCCTGAGCTACATAAACCCAATCTCAAAAAATAAACACTAGCTGTTTTGAAATATACAATTAATATTATATAGTAATATGTATTTATATATATATTCATTTATTGTCTCAAAAACCCAGTTACTTCTTTACCACTGGACTTCTTAGAGCTTAGATGTTTAATAGGCTAACATGTGCTATGATTCCTAGACTGGCATTTCAGCCAAAGTATATTATTGATTTACCTTGTAGAGGTTGAAACCAGGACCTGCACATGCTGCATAAGAACTTTGCCACTGAACTAGGCCCTCAGGCCCCCTCCAAATTATTAAACTCAAGTAAGTTTTAAAAAGAAGCATTTCAGGGCCAGATGTGGCAGCGCATGCCTTTAATCCCAGGAGGTAGACGCAGACGGATTTCTGTGAGTTCAAGACTAGCCTGGTCTACATAGTGAGTTCCAGGCCAGCTAGGGCTACACGGTGACCCTGTCTCAATGAAAAAAAAAAAGCAAAACAGAAAAACTCCAAAGCATTTTAGGAGGGTAGTTAGATGGACGGAATAACTTCAGTAACTGTCATTGACAATAATGAGTTATATATTATATTAGCTTATATAGCTATATATCATGTTATTATAATTCTATATATGTATATTATATATTTTTAAAATATTCTATTATTTTTATTTTTTATGTGTACAAATGTATTGCCTGCATGCATGTAAGTGCACCAGTGTCATGCAATGCCTTCAGAGGTCAGAAGGAGGGCATCAGATCCCCTAGAATTGGAGTTACAGATGGTTGTTAGCCACCATGTAGGTGCTAATAACCAAATCTTGGTCCTCTGCAAGAGCAGCCAGTGCTTTTAACTACTGAGCCAATTCTCCAACCCCATATTGAATATTACTTATTATTATTATTATTATTATTATTATTATAGTGTTTTATAAGCTTATTTCAAAAAAAGGTTCAAGTGGAATTTTCCATTGCTGTTATTTCAGTGGTCCACAACACATCAACCATTTTTGTGAGTGCTTCCTAAAGGCCAGGCATCAGCAAAAGGGGACGTTAAACAGGAAAATACTGCCCCCGGCTCCATAGAATTAGCAGTATGGCTTTCAAGACAGATGGGCATGGAAATTCCCAAGCTTCAATCTGTGAGACTAAAGGATACTGGGAGAGAGACAGAAAGAGGGGATGCTGTGTCAGACCTCTCCTGGGGACCACATGCCCTGGGCAGGGGTGACGATGATGACATGAATGCTGTAAAGTAACAAATTAGGTGGAAACCTGTCAGAGGGCCAGGGAGAGCCCCGGATGGGGTCCAGGAGAACAGGGCTGGATGTCACCATACTCCTGGCCTGAATCTCTTGCCGCTAAGTATAGATCCTATCTCAGGAGTCCAAAGAGCTGCTTTGCTTCCACAGTGGACACAGCATTATTGATTATCCAGGAACAGAGGGATTGCAAGTCACAGAGTCCCGAGAGTCCCAAAGAAAAATAGCTGACAAAGAAAGGAAAGCTGGGAACACTTCAGGATGAGTGTACCAGAGTGGTCACCTGACACAGGAATGACACCCAGGCGCAGCCCTGAGTGTTCCATTGAACACTGTCTCGTTTGGCTTATTCTCAGTAGCTGTAAGTACAGTGGAGGCCCAAAGAGGTGATGGGACTCAACCTAAGGTCACTTGACTTCTGCTGATGTTGGAAAGCAGGGCAGAGCTCAGATGCCTATCACGTGACAGTAATCTTAGCATTCAAGAGTCTGAGGAAATATTAGGGGGGAGCATTTTGAAAACAAGCATTTCTGGGCTAGGGAGATGCTCAGTGGGTAACATGCAAGCTTGAGGACCTGAGTTCAGAGCCCCAGCACTCACATAAAAAGCCAAGCAGGGCCACAGAGCCTGTAATCCCAATGCTGGGAGGCAGAGGCAAGAGGATCCCAAGGGATTCCTGGTAAGCCAGTCTAGTGAGAGACCCTGTCTCAAAAGATAAGATAGAAAGCAATAGAGGAAGACACCTGATATCAACCTCTGGCCTCCACATGCACACACGGGTACCTGCACCCGCACATACACAGCATCTCTCTCTCTCTCTCTCTCTCTCTCTCTCTCTCTCTCTCACACACACACACACACACACACACAATTTTTCTTTAAAAAGTCAGTCATTCCTGGGGACTGGAGAGATAGCTCAGCAGTTAAGAGCACTGGCTCCTCTGGTAGAGGATCTGGGTTCGGTTCCCAGCACCCACATGGTGGCTAACAACCATCTATTACTCCAGTTTCAGGGGATCCAACGCCCTCTTCTGACCTCCACAGACATTGCACAACATGGGCACACTCATACATGTAGCTACACACATGCAGGCAAAACACTCATACACAAAATAAAATAAAAATAAATAAATATTGTTTAAATCCATCATTCTTTCTTGGAGCAAGTGAGAAGATAATGTTGACTGGAGTTGAGATTTGCTGAGGAAGACCCTCTAGTGCTAAATGTCCTCTTTTTTTTCTTGAGTCTTCCAGCTGGCCTAGAACTCATTATATAAATCAGGCTATACTCAATCTCACAGAGATTCACCTGCCTCTGCCTCTAGAGTGCTGTTTAAAGGCGTGCACCACCACCACGCCTGGCTGCTTCTAAATGTCTTAATGTACATTGTAAGAGTGATAAGAAAAGTTAAGTGTGGCTTGCTGTGTCTTTCGAGAAGAATAACTCACCCTTAACACCACTCACAAACCAAAGGGCATAAGCCAGGCTAGTCCTGCCTATTTATAAGGCTGAGACTACCATTCTCGGGACCATACCACTTACCTGATTCTGTCAGAGACCTGTATTACCCTGGATGACTTCCACTGGAACAGGAACAACTTAATTGGCTTTGACTTACTTTTATTTGTTGCTTTTGTTGTTACTGAGACAAATAAATCTCACTATGTAGCCCAGGCTGTCCCCAAATTATTGATCCTCCCTAATGCTTGGGTTGTGGGTGTGCACCCCCCACACAGCTCTGGCTTTGACTTTCTAAGCATTAGCCAGGGCATCCCCTAGAAAGGCCAAATCACAGGGTCACACAGCTGCTGCGGGATCAAACCACTTTGTGGGACTTGCTCTTAGTATTTTGCCCTGCTCCTCTCCCTCCTCCCAGGCGAAGTCCTCGACTCCGTCATGAAATCCGCAAGCCCCGCCATTCCTCTGCGGACAACCTGGCCAATGAGATGACCTACATTACAGAAACTGAAGACGTGTTCTACACCTACAAAGGCTCCCTGTCCCCCAAAGACAGCGATTCTGAAGTTTCCCAGCACCGAAGCCCACACCGAGAGTAAGTATCGTAGTATTTTCTTCTTTTGTGTCTGCTTTGGTTATTCCATTGCCCAGGCCCAAGGTGCCATGTGAGAGAAGAGTTTGCCTGCAGTAAGCTCCCAGAGGCGCTCTCTCCAAGATAGGATCAGAAATCTGAGTGCCTGTCTACACAGGAGATAATCGTGCACCTGGAGCTCAGAGACCTGAGTACCTTCCAGTCTCTCTTAAGTCCCCTCCCCAGGTCATGAGCAGAGCCTAGTTTAAGTACTTCTATATTGCAGAGGTACAGACTTGTCCTGGTTTGTTTCTTCATTGCTGTGACAAAATACTCTGACCACTACCGACTTGGGGAGGAAAGGGTTATTCAGCTTACATCTCCCAGGTCACAGTTCATCAGGGAGCCCAAGGTAGGAACTCAGGGTAGGAACCTGGAGGCAGGAGCTGGAGCACAGGCCACAGAGGAACGTTGCTTACTGGCTTGCTCCCCTGGCCCCTGCTCAGCCTGCTTTCTTATGCGACACAGGCCCACCTGCCCAGGGGTGGCACCACCCACAGTGGGCTGGGCCCTCCCACGTCACTCATCAAGAAGATGCCCCTCAGATATGGTCACAGGCCAGTCCAATAGAGGAAATTCCCCAATTGAGGCTCCCTCAACC